ACTGAACCAGAATGCTACTAATTGAAATTCAACATGCAAAGAACTTTAAGTCAAACATTGAATTCCATTTACCAATACTACAATGGAGATTGGAAGAAAGCCACGAACAATACTCCAATTATATCAATAATGTTGCCGCCACTTCGTCTTCACCATTATTCTTTTCAACCCAGAAACTTTTGTAACAATTTTCTGGTCTTTTTTTCCGCTCAATTCGCTGCCCCCCCAAAAATACGGAACTCCCAAAACCGAAAGATAAGAAAATTCGTTTCTGATTCCTCTCCGTAGCTCCGAGTATTTCGCTCCAATAATTATCTGATTTTTTTTATCTTTTTCTTCTCTACGCTGATATTTGATACCCACAAGAGTATTGAGATGAACTCTTCACTGCTGCTTTTTTATTTGTGTTGGCTGAGTGACATGTTGGTGTACCTCAAGGCCCACGTGGCAATTTGCACTCAAACATCATTGGACTTAATATATGTAACTTACTTCAGTCTTGTGAGCTATGCTTCTTTTGATCCGAGCAATGGTCAAATGTATTTTGCTACCATAATCTTCTTCCTACAGACAATAAGAATAAATAGTAGTCACTCGTGTCTAAATAAGAAAATTACGTAATATACCTTTAATTAATCAAATACCAATATAAAATCAAGAGTTTAATAGATATAAATATTATATTTTTACGGCCCTATCAGATATCAAGAAGGTGTTGGGATATGTTTAGGCTAGGCTAAGAAAGAAAGAGATAGAGAGAAAAGCTTTTAGCTTAGAGAGGGGATTAGATGATGACTATTGGTGCTCAAGCTTGTCGATGATTGAAAACGGGGTGAAATAACCTCTATTTATAAGAAAAAATGAGGGTCGAAGATCAGAAATGAGTCAGAATCCGACTCGGAGTAAAACAGGTTTCTATCGCGATGCGACAAATTTATCGCTGCGCGATAGGCTTATCGCAGAGCGATATTTCTATTGCTCAGCGATACTTTTAGAAGATAGAATCCGTACGGAATCCAACTTCCAATCAAATTGGGTTAATCGAATTTCCGTACGTATTCTAATTTTATCAGAATTAAAATTATTGAAAAACAAGTGTTTTATCCGATATAAAATTCTTAAATCTTTATCTTTTCAAAAACAGAATAAATTAGAACCTTCTAGAGGATTCTAGAAGCTAATAATAAATCCTAATTGGTTTAGGAATGAGGTTAAGGTTAATGGACCCTCCACATGGTCATTGGGTCGCAGGTAAGGCTCGGTTTGGGCTCGGTTCAATATTTTGGCCATAACTTCTTCATTATAACTCGGATTTGGGCTTATAATATATCGTTGGAAAACTCTTTTCAAGCCTCATCCAACTAAACAATAATTCGACCAGGATTATGGACCAAAATAAACTGGTTTGGACGTTTTTATAAAGAGGAAACGAAATGAATGATTTTGGCTTTAAAGGCACGAAATAAATGATTTTGGTTTAAAACATTTAGGGAAAGGTTAGAAATGGTCAAGGCTTAAGGGAACTTTACGAGACTTTTCAACTTTTCACCTAACTCGATAATCAAATATGTGAAAGGTACTCATCACTGGGTTTGGTTTTTGGGGAGACACAATAAGGTGTCTACACTACCCCAAGCGCTTAGGTAGTGGGTTTACCCCTCAGTGAACAAGTGACTCGCGGCATCCGAGCACTAGGCCCTTGGCAGTCGATCATGCCCTCGGCATAAGCCGGCCCGCTGTATAGCCTACACCTACCTACCCTCGGCGTTTTAAGTCCAACCGCTCGGCCTACCTACTAAACTCATTTGGTAATGCGGCCCCTAAGCCAACGACAATTTTAAAAAGTGCAAGGCAAATCCCGAGAGCTCGGCATACCTTGAAGCAAGGCACACAAAGCCCGTGGCACCAGCACGATGCAAAGGTCGAGCTCGCGGCAAAAGGCAAAACTCGCAGGCCCATTACCGAGCATGCCGAGCGCTAAGCCTGTTGCACACCCCTAGCACTCGACTCGCGAGGCTACCCTCTCGGCACTACTTCTATGCCCTCGGCATGTCACATAAAATAAAATAAAATAGAAAAATTCAATCCTACGCCAAGAGCTAGGCGTGCCGTCATCGATCCCACACAAGACCTCAATAGGCCTGCTACCCCCTCATCATGGAAACCCCAAGCTCTTGGCCGCCATGCCGAAGTTCTCATCCATTCTTACCCCGGGGCTCTCGGCTCTACATACTCCCTCGATATTTCTCAACAAAAAATAAAGAAATTCTATCACGTAATGCCTAGTCTTCATCCAAAGCAAAAAGAGAGGTCTTTTGGGTTTCTCACTAAAGTGCTAAGCTCTCGGATTTCTACAAGCCTACGGTTTTCAACAACCATAAAATAAAGATGTATAATTTTGGTTTCGGATTCAAATCCGAGAGCTAGGGATCCTCAAAATAAAGCAAAAATTCAGCTAAGCTGCCGAAGCCTTCGGATCTATCCAACCCCCAGGCTCCCGACCACTCTTTTACTATGCCACCCCCAGGCTCTCGGCTGTCTCTTAGGTCAATTCTCAATAAAGATAAGGCCTTCGGCAATTACCACACCTCCAGTTTTCAGCACTTAAAATACTCTTCGCTCAGCCTCACAAACCCAGCCCCTCGGCAATAATGCACATCCCTCGGCCATGGGGCTGGTACGCTCACCTCTTGGCATTCATTGCCCACTCTCGAGGCGAATCTAGTCAATTTCTCGGCCCAACAAGCTCTTGACATATCTCCCTCACACTCCCTTAAACACCCGAGCGCTCAGTCTAGAGAAAGGCACGCTCGGTATATCCTGAAGCAGGGCACACGAGACCTTCAGCACCTCGACCTCCAGCCAACAAGAGTCTTTCGCCTAACACAACCCCTCAGCCATAGCCGAGCCCTCGGACTGACGCGCAGGTATAGCTCAAGAAAGCTGAGCGCTCAGCATATGCTTCCCAAAATAAATAAATAAATACATAATAATAAGAATATATACATATACATATCTCTCGGCTGGATAGAAATTCGAAATTCACAAACAAAATTCAAGCTTTCAGATATACCAAAAAACGAATCAAAAGTTGGAAATCTTTCACATACCTCTTGAAGATCTTGATGAACTTTGACGAATCCGAGCGATGTGACTCTTGAACACTCAAACTCTCAAGAATTTTGGAGAGAATTGGAGAAAATTTTGAGAATTTCTTTGAGGCAAATGAGAATGTGAAGCAAAGGAAAGTGAGGGGGGAATTCATATATTGAAAGGAGAGGAAAGGTGATCCCCTCAAAACCCTGGCTCAGATGGGCTCAAGTGTTACTTGAGCCTAGGATGTCACTAATAATAATTACAAGCTAATTTAACATTCAACTATCATCAATTACTTCTTAATACAAGCTTAGTCGAAGTTCAAATAAATCATGCCTTCAGCAACATATATGGGACTCAACCCTCAGAAGATTATACAAAAAGAAAAAAGCTCTCAATTGTTTGTAAGCCGTCAATCCATTATTAGGCTTAGCTCTCAGACAATTTCTCAAAATAACTCAGCTAATGCAACTAAAACGCCTCTTATGCATTGCTTGGGGCTGGTATTCGCCCTTACAAGTCGTTTGGGGCTCGTTTTAGCCCTCGGCTATGCCTAAAAAGCTATTTCGACTCACATGACAACCTCTCAGCCTCAATTTCACTCATTCTGCGTGACATCCGAACTTCATGCGATCTCGTTCACATATCACGCGTGGGGCTAAATGTTTGGGCCAAGTCCATTGTTCTAAGCCCAGTGACCTGAAATGAGGAAAATACCTCTCCATGATCCAGCCCATCATTAATCGTTGCAAAGTACAGATTTACCCCTAATCTGTCCAACTAAGTACAGCTTTGCCACCTGAAAAAACATCTATAAATAGCTCATCATTCATTAATGAGAGGGTTTTTTTCCTAATTCTCTCTCTACTTTCTCTCACTAGAAAGTACATTCGCTAACTTAAGCATCGGAGGGGCTTTCGCAGGTCACACCCCCGGGGCAGCTAACACTTTCTGTTTTGCAGGCCTAGCTCTCAGGCGTCAAGGCGGAGGTCTCAGACATACCTTTGCTAGGTGGAGCTCTTGGACCTTTAGACGATAATTGGACTTAGATTCTAGGACATCTTGATATACCATGTAATACCCTAACACTAGGAGGAGTCTGTTTCCAAAAACAGAAAAGTGGGGTATCAAAAACCAAGTTGAGATGGGCCTCAAATGATGGCCTTATTGGGCCTAGTTAGAGACGGACCTAATTTGCAATCTGCCTTTTACTACCTTCAAATTGAAATGCTGATGCAAAGGATATTCCTTATCGTTATATGTTATTGTATAACTTTATATTTGTTCCTTTTACAAGTTTTCAATCGTGTATCAACTCAGGATGCTCGTTTAGTCCTTTAATCTTACTTGTGCAATGATAGTGAAATGCTACCCTTTTTTTTTTTTTTTTTTTTTTTTTTTTTTTTTTTTTTTTTTACGTATTGGATAGATAGGTTCATTTTATTTTTAGAATTTGTTATCAAAAAATTAAGGCATCAAGGCTCACTTAAGGTTGATAAAGAATCTCGTCAAAAAAAAAAGTTGATAAAGAAAGCTCAAAGTCTTTTAAGTCTACAACACCCATTAATGCATACAAGTAGTATCTTTTACACAAAATTAGATAATGTCCTAGTCATGCTTGCTTTCTTAAAATTAATACGGAGTAATAATTGAAATATACTTGTAGAAGTCTCTATATAAATGTAAGTCTCCATATTTGTTCAAAAAAAAAAATGTAAGTTAATAGTCAATCTATAAATAAATAAGTAAATAATGAAATTTGTATATAAATTAATAATTTTGCCAAAAAAAAAAAGAACCCTCCAAAAAAGACTCCCCCTTAGTATAAATATGTAAATTTTTTATACTCCCTTTGTTTTTAAATACTTGCTCCATTTCTCCATGCGCAGAGTTTTAAGAGAAATTGGAGAAAGTAATAAAATATGGAGTTAGTGAGATAGATGAAAGAATAAAAATTGTAAAAAGCAAAAGTAGTTGAGAGAATTAGAGGTGAGAGAATATGAAATTAATAAAATATAATTTATGTTGGGTCCATTAGTTGAGGGAAATGAATTAAATATTGTATAAGGTTTCCAAATAAGTAAATGGAGCAAGTATTTAAAAACGGTCGAAAATAAAAAATGGAGCTAATATTTGAAAACAGAGGGAATAATATACAAATTTGGAATATGTTTTTTTTGGTGAAAAACAAATTTAGAATATAAGTTAACTATTGAATACTTAAGTTTATTCAACTTGAAATAAACATGTTATATTTGTAAATTGAACTTGTAACTTTTTTTTTTTTAACCTATCAGTCTTTATCAATAGTCTAAAATTTGTCGAATTACATTTCTGAATTAGCTTCATTCATTGTTTATTCATCCAAATGACCATTAGTAGTTACTAGAACAAATGCTAGACCGTGGGTACTCACACTAGTGACACTACTCAATGTCATCCATTTTTAACACTTTATAATCTTAGAGAAGAAATGTAGATAAACTACACCTTTTTGAAAATAAAAAAAAAAAAAATTCCCCCATATTTGCAAGTGAAAAGATAACAACCTGCATAATAGAAGGAAACGTGGGCCGGTATGCTGTTTCTCAACTCACTCTTCTTTCTTTTCCATTTTTTTTTTCAAATTCAAAAAAAAATTAAAAATTGAATTTGTTATTCTAAAAGAGAATATAAAATGAGAAGTTGTTGAGGGTATTATTGGGCAAGTCAAAATAGAATTCCTAAACTCATATTTAAACAGTTAATTTCTGTAACACATTAATTCAAATTCAGAAGAAGAAGAGAGAGAATTGGAATCAGAAAAATAACACAGCAGAAGAAAGAGAAAGAGAGAAAGATTAATACAAAATGGAAGGAGCAGGAGGAATGCAGCATTCTGAGTGTGAAGTAAACTTAGATGATTTACAACAACAACAAAACGGTGAGTCTCAATCACAACAACAGTATCAAGAATCTCAAAACGACGATTTCTTGGATCAGATGCTGTCAACTATTCCTAACTGTTCTTGGCCTCCAACCCCACATCATGACCTTCCTTCTCCCTCTTCTAATAATCATAATCCCAACAATTCTAATTCCAATCTTTCTCTTAAACCCGGGGATTCGCATTCTCCCCCGGATGATCATCATCGATACCCTTTCGACGAGGCGTCTTTGGTATCGAAACTCAGGCAGCAACAACATCAGCAGCAGATGACAGCCAAATCATTGCTTCTGCAGCATCAGCAGCAGTTTCTGTTGTCTCGTAGGTCGCCTGCTGATGCTGCTCCACCTGGGATGTTGCCTATGCCTTTGACCCTTGGTAATACTGATTCTGTTGATCCTTCTTCATTCAAATCTCAGGTATGTATTATTCTTTCTCATTTTATTACCGATTCCTCCGTTTCATACTGTTCTTCTTACTTTAACCAATTTCATCGCAGAAAAGATGGAACAATATGAAACGGAGGGAGTACATTATTTATTAATAGTAATTTGTGTGTATTATTAAATGACCAGTTCAATTAAAATGAATGATGAAAGTATTGTATTAATTATTAGGTTGGAGCAGAAGCATCAGTTCAAGGATTGTACAATGGTTTTGTTGGATCTCTTCATGTTAATGCGCAGCCTCCGCCTCCCAATCAGCAGCATTTTCACCCTCCTCCACCTCCTCCTCCTCAGGTCTCATTATTTTTATTAAAAAAAACGATGCTTTTCTTCTTGAAGATTTTAAAAATTTTCCTTGAATCAAATCTAATGGTTCGTAAATGATTAATGTAGGGTGGAAATATGAGCGGCGGACAGAACTTTGGAGGACAGGGAGGAGGAATGAATCAAGCACCGCCAGCGAGCGCATCGACAGGAGGGAGTAGTGGTGCTGGCGCTCCTCAAAGGCAGAGGGTTAGGGCTCGCAGAGGCCAGGCCACCGACCCGCATAGCATTGCTGAAAGAGTATGCACCCTTTTTTAAAAAAAAATTACTAATCTATTTTTGTTAAACTTGTATAAGTATTACACATGTAGCTAGGGCTATTTTTGAAATAGTAGTAAACATTTAATTGGGATAATTGCAATTAACGACATGTGATTTTGTCATGGAAATTCACAACATTAGTTTAGCATATACTTGTATGATTTAGGTGTATACGGAGTAGGTTTGAACTTTTGCTTTGACTGACTACATTTCATTTATGTCAATTATTTAGTACGAAGTACGCGTTTTTGTTTTGTTAATGTTGATTAAGGTTGGCATTCATTGCAATGCAGCTTCGGAGAGAGAGAATTGCAGAGAGAATGAAAGGTTTACAAGAACTGGTTCCGAATGCAAACAAGGTAACCTCCTCAGTCTATTACCTAAATTGTTCGATTTAATGTTAGCAGCACTACCATATTTACTGAATAAATAAATAAAATTGTAACACCAAGTATATATAACATTAGTTACATTACCATATATGATGGTGAAGTGAGAGTAATTTTATTAGTTTCTAACAAAATAAGTAGAAAAACATTTGTATAAGACCGCCTTATCATTATTTGCCTCTTCCATTGGCCCAATCTACCTACATGGTGGACTGGTGTTCTTATTTAAAAAAAAAAATTTAAGGACGGACTAAGTTAAGCTAAAGATTTGTTCAACAAACGTATCTAGATGGTTACTCCTTACAAGTACCGAAAGTGTGGAAATGGCCGATGAATCATGTTGGTAGTGAGTAGTGTGACAAGACGTGATGAGGGGGTTAGGCCGTGGGGGATAAAGAGATTCTCATTCATAATTCATGATTGACCATTGATCATCGGGAGAGGTATATTCCTTAGCGGAAAGGGGTAGTAAATGGCTATGTCCAACTCCTAAGCACGATGTTGTTAAGGTCGGTTTTATATTTTAAAAACTGCTGTTGCTGTTGGATATGTGCACAGAAATGGAGCACTGCTTCTGCATGACCCATGAGGTCGTCTGACTATTATGACTAGTATATATTATTACTAGTAATAGGGTGTTGGAGTTGCAACTACCATAAGTTATTAACAAAAATTATCATTATTAATTATGTAGTGTACGATTACGGATTGATTACAGTCACTGCATTTAATGGTTAGGGAATAAGAGATGAGACATCGATCTGATTCTTGTGATTACATTAAGCTAAGTCTGCATATGTGTTGGAGACATCTTAAATTTGGACCTCTGACTCGTGATTCTTTTTTATGTAAACATGATCTAAAACAAAGAAGTGATATTATTTTCTATAAAATTAGTTACATTCTTGTAAATATTATACTGAATTCTGGGATTTTTTATGGAATGGCAGACTGACAAGGCCTCTATGCTTGATGAGATCATCGACTATGTCAAGTTTCTCCAGCTCCAAGTCAAGGTCCTCTCTCTCCCTCTCGCTTTCTGTCATCATCTCGCAAACTGGCTTATTTATTGAACTTAAATTTATTCATTTTTTTTTATAGAACAAAATCTAATAAGCTTAATATCAGACTTAGTTTTTGGATCATGGTTTTTCGCTGCCTTCTAATCTTTGATCTCATCATTACTCTGTAAAGTCCATACATATATTTAACATGTCAATGGAGATTTAGAATTTGCATTTATTTGCAGTTTTACATGAAAAAAATTGTGAATCTAATACTATGTAACATATCTAAGTTATAAAACAAGTTGATATTTAGATGGCTAATTTCTGAAGTAAAATGACAGTCTAGGTAATTGATTATCAAGTTAATACTCGAAGTATTTAGAAATTGCCCTATCAAAATGTTTGTTACGAGTGAATTTCATCATCATACGCTAATATTATTTTGGTGTGTGACTTTGGTTGGACACTAATATGGTGGCCTCAGGTACTAAGCATGAGCAGATTAGGCGGTGCAGCTGCTGTAGCTCCACTGGTTGCAGCCTCTGAGGTACCAAAACCTTGTTGAGCTTTTTCAATTTGCTGCTTTACTATTCTTTACATTATTTTTTTGGCCCTTTTTCTTTTAACATATTGGTGCTAGGACTTTTCCAAACAGCTTTTGTTATTGTGGTAGAAATTTTCTTACTCGTAAAAGTATAAAAAGAAAAAGGTTTAGTTCTTAGTACTACTAATCTTTTTGCAGATTCCCTAACCTTTAAATCTTTTTGGATGATTATTGTGAAAGTCATAACTTGGTTACTAGTAAACGGTGTACAATATTGTTAATAACAAGTCAGTATTCCATGTATTTTAATAGTGAAAATGTCATGTTATATAATTGGATACTGGTACTTAATGTGGGTTATGGAACAGGGAGGAGTAGGGCGGAACAGCAACGGAAACCAGCCAACGTCAACAAACGACAGCATGACAATAACGGAACATCAGGTGGCAAAGTTGATGGAGGAAGACATGGGTTCAGCCATGCAGTATCTGCAAGGGAAAGGGCTGTGTCTCATGCCCATCTCTTTAGCTACAGCCATTTCCACAGCAACATCGCTCTCCAGGACTCCTCTGCCTCCACCTCGGCCTCACATCAACAACGGCAACCACCATGACATCAACAACAACGGCAACCACCACCATGACATAAATCATCATGCCCTTATCCCGTCAGAAGGAGACAACAACGGAAATGGGATGAGTATGACTAAGGCTAACCCGACTCCAGACTCTTCCGTCAAGGATCCATCCAACTGATTTCGTAATGTAACCAACTCTTCATCTTACCCACCTACTTACCTACCTTATCACTACTTTTGTTTCATCGTTAGTACTTTAATTATGTTAGACGGCAGGAAAGAAAGGAATAGTAAATTATAGCTTGAGATTTGAGAATCACCAAGGAATGAAGTTGAAAATCAACAACAAAAATGGGATTTTTTTTTTTTTTTTTTTTCTTTTGATTCTGTCTACGTCGTATATGCGTAGACTTTTGCTCAAAGATAATCCTAACATCTGCACCATCCGACAAAGCCCAAGATTCCCTACGAAACTTCCCTTTTAATAATTAAAACCTTATCTTTCCTTTTCTCTTTAATTGTTCAATAACAATGCTAAACAATACCAGTACCACCATTTCTTCTACTAGTATTGTAATGGTTTTTTTATGCTATAGTTTTTATTTATGTATACTTGGACTGTTGAGTCTTCAGGATGAAGCTCTTTGTCTTATTGTAAATATTACACTTAATCTTTCTCTAAACACGAATCTCGGTACTTAACCGGCCTCTATTGCAATTTTTTGCGAAGGAGACATGAGTTTTTAAAACATGTTGCATTGTTACAGTTTCAATTTGTTAATCATGTAATCATTCATGATGAATGTATAATTAAGTAAATTTACAGGTTGAGGTATCTAATCTTAATTTATTGCTTACACATTAATAAACGATTGAGACAAATGAAATCAGCATTGACATTCTCTTGATCAGGGCTTATTGGATTTTCAATTAATGGATTGTCTAAATTCACAACATCTGACCAAAGAGCTGCATAATTTAAAGGGCGTTGAAGGATTTATTTGGAAGGGCTTGAAGAAATTTGATAGAAATGGGAAATGAGTTTTGGCACAGATAGAACACAATGTTATGTTGCATGGTTAAAATGTGCTAGAGATCCAATTGTGAAGTCCTTATCAACCGTCTTTTGAAGTCTGCAACATACTTCACCGATTTCGATGGTGTTCTTGAAGATAATCTGCAACATACTTCATCGATTTCGATGGTGTTCTTGAAGATAATCTGCCCCTAAGTGCTGAATTTAACTCTCTTAGTTGGTTTCATGTAAAAAGGGATATATAGCAATTTCGTTGCTCATCACCTTGCTAAGTTAGTGCCATTTGATGTTGAATAAGTGTGGGTAAATCACTCTCCTACCAAGATTGCTCCTTAGTCCCTATGTATTTTCAAACACTATGCCCCTTGATTAATGCATTAACTCGATTTTCCGCTCAAAAAAGAGAGGAGTGATTATTAAAGAGATTTTTACATAAATTAACTTTTTGCATATTGATATATATTAAGTTTTAGAGAGGCTCATGAAGTGACACATGCGAGGTCCAATGCTACTCCACTTGATTACTCAACTAGAGTGTGGTAAGAAAATGCTCAACTTGTATTGAGCACCGATTTGTGCTTAATCAATTAATACAAGTCTTGTGGCCGCTTACTAATTGAACAAAATATGATTAGGATTACATCAAAGTACTAAATTAGACAGGTGGCAAATCTTATTTGGGCATACAAGTAATTCAATTTAGGTCATATTCAGACAAGTCATTTAGTTTTTAATCCAAGTGATGTTGAGAATTTGAGATGTACTTTCTAGTAGAGTTTGGGTTTTCATAGGGCAACTCGAATTGATTAATCGAATATGAGTAGTCAGTTTGGTCTCCTAGTATTTTTTTTATTCTTCACGGGATCTTGGTAGGTGAAAGGTGTAACCACCTTACCGGGCAGGCAGGTGGGTTAGAAGAAGCTTTTTTGAGTGTAGAAGTAACAGAGATCGCATGCACTATATATGCTTTTGAGCTTTGCATCAGTTTCTATTCTGCATGTTGCAATGCTGCAGCAGCTTATATTGTATGTCTGCTTTGAGTATCACTTGAAGGTTGCATACTTAAACAGTATTGTCACAAAGTTGCATACTTTAAAAATTGCCTTATGCACTGTAGTGCCCAGAAACCTGTTCTTGAGCTGAAGCAAATATCTAATGTCGTGCTCTAAACCAATCAACGGAATAGATTTTAAGAATCTGAAGAAGCAACGCATAAAAAATTGTATCACCTTAGAGCATCTTAACTGAATTCATCTCGCAACACAATAAAGCACTAGACAGGGTTACATTAATCATATTGTCCCTTCTAAAAATCTAATTCTAAGAAATACATGACAGTTTTTTGGGTAAGAGTGGAATATTTAAGTTACACTAAGGGGCGCTTGGAATGAAGGTAATAAATTAAGGGGGTAATAAAAGTCAAACTAGGTAAATTATAGTTGATTAGAGGTATTATTGTAGGGAGACAAGATGTTTATTAATGAATTAAGATTGTAGTGACATAAGGAAAAAAGAGGGGTGGAGGAATCATTACCCTCAAAATAAGGGTAATAGGTTACCCACCCTCCCCCTAGTGTAACCTATTACCCCTAAAATAAGGGTAATAGTTCCCTTTCTTCACCTATCACCACATCATCACTATATAAATCTTCTTACAATCACATCATCACTACTTCCCCCTCTCCTATGTTTACTTTAATTTTGCTTGGTTTGACTTTTATTACCCCTTAATTTAATACTCCCAATCCAAGCGCCCCCTAAGGCTTAAATCTTTACACTTTAATAGATCAGTTTCACGAAAAGTAAAGCGCCAACAAGTTCAAAAAGTCTGCAAGGGTCAATAAGTTGTAAGGCATACAAGATACAACTCACAGCAAAAAACAAAAATTCAATTCACAAATAAGATTAGTTCAAACAAGTCTTAAGACAAATTTGGATGAGGATTTTGTGCATCATGATCTGCAAAAGAAAAAAAAAACACTATTGGACGTATAGGTGGCCCTTGCTTTACTTTGAGAGCCTAAGTCAGTGTATGTGCCATGGTTTCCTAGTAGGGACAAGTGAAAGCAATGTACAAAGATGACCTTAGATCAAATAGGATAACTCTTTGATCCTATGCTTCAGAGTAGTACTTCTATGGGAGAAGAAGTGTGGATTCTTTTGACTTTCACTAATAAAACAAGAATAAAATCTACTCTCTCTTATATGCATATATTATTCAGTTTGACCTTTCACTTTAATTATTGACCATCCTATTATATTCCTACTCTCTTATCAAAGACTGCATCCTTCTATTAGCTGGGCCTTTCTAAGTAAGCCATCTGTCAGTAGAATTTTCGACTGCTCGCAGTCAACTTCTCAAGGAATTACAGCACCTCTCAAAGAAATCACATAACATATACGAATACAATTTATGCCACTAAGAGGAACAGATTATAAGTCAAGTTCCCCACATAATCTTCATCTATCCCGAATATAAGAAGGCCAGTGTCAGACTGTTTTACGTGTCAATCTCCCTTAGATCAATTAACTTGTGACCACTATTACTCCTAATGACCAAAATCAATCATCTAATCACATTAAAGACATAGCTAAAAATAAAAAACTCTTGCGACCTTCTATTCCGTTGAACTAATACAGGTTGTTATAATTGACAAGACAACATTCAATCGCTGTCCAAAATGACTAGTCCTTCTCAGGGGTCATGTGATTAAGTCATTTACATTTCACAAATGAAAAAACACACTTGTTTTCCATGTGGAGTGAGAGTCATGCCAATATAATAACCTTTTAAGAAAAGAAAAAAGAATGAAAGTTCATAACTTATGAAGAGTTGGTTAAATCTATAGTCAGGCAAAAAAAACACGGGAATAGGCACATAAGTTCTTAAATGTTAGTCAGAGATATAACATCATTAGCCAACCAGCAAATTACTTGCCCTGTTCAGCTCAGAAGTCAAGGTCATTGGTCGGGTTGTTTTATTTCATCCTCACTGCTCTCTATCTTCACTATGGTCAGCAATTATGTGGTGATACAAAGCCAATTACCCTTTCCCTATCCACTCCTCTGAAAGCGACAAAGAATTTGAAAAGATTGCTAAGGCCGATTTACATAAGAAAAGACTCCCCACGGTAAAGTGTATTACACCCTCTTAATAACATTAGTACATCCAACAATCAACAAAAGTCTCAAATATAGAGAGAGAGATAGAGAGATTGTGCATATCCAGCCATAAAGTTCGTAGAATTGATTCCAGTCCATTAATTCAGAATCACTAAAATCTTAGAGGATGCTGATTTATATGGCAAACAATCAGATTCTAGTTAAACCACAAAGCAAAATTCAGTATAAATGACTATTCTGCCTACACACAACATGTATAAATTCAAGTAAAACTGAGGTTCTCTAAACAGCTGTGTTAGAGGAAGAGAGTCCCTGCATGAGGATGGAGAGTCATTTTCAGGCAGCCAAGGATGACTTGCCTACAGTTCTCTGTAGGTTTTCTATGCACAAGATAGCCTATTCTATGTAAAGATAAAGCCAAAGATGATCCACATTATACACCCACCCAAGTGCCTTCGATGAAAAGAGCTATCATAGTATGTCCTAAAGTGAGATTTTGGAGGCAGGTCATCCTTGGCTACCCTGGCAGACTCTAATCCCTCATGCTGGAACTCCTTTTCCAAGCTCTTCAGTTAAGGTCGTTGAAGCGCTTTGTTCATCTTTTCTAGTTTCAACAAATGCAAGATGCAGCATTAAGCATCAGGTAAGTAATTAAGGTATATCATTCAAGATGCATTTATAGCTTAATTTATGTGTACTATCAAATGCATAAATGAGTTTAAAACGCATCTACTTTCCCACCTCATCCATTCTACCTGCTATAAGGCATAAGCCAATATGCCAGACAAGAAGCATGAACCATGTACACAGGCATGTGGTCCAGTGACGTGACAAATACAGCGTAAATTTCTTTTTCCTGTTGACCCCTATTTGTATTCGCAATTTCACAAGCCTGAGCAAAAAATATCACACACACACAATAGCCTTTGTGCAAGACCATTTGTATAGACTATATAAGCAGTACTAGTACAATTACAATGCACCAAGTTCCAACACATGACACACATTTAACTTATTCACACCTCAGCTCGTGCTACAATCATAATCTATAGAGGACATACAATAGAGAAAGGGCATCGAGAGAAGGTTTAAGTCGTTTAACATCAGACAAACTAACCATCGCCATATTAGCTTCAGCTGGTTAATGCAAAACTTCTCTCTACCCAATGTGGAGGATCCATCACAGCACAAGGATCTGATTTCTCAAAGTCGGCAACCTACATTAAGGGCAATAAGCAAAAAAAAATTAAGTTTTACTCCACAAAGTACTGAACTACTGATAGTATGATAGTTAAAAGCACCAGAAGCTAAAACGAAAAAAGTCAAAAATGAATTGTCAATATAAGGTTTTAGTGATTTAACACCTTTTCTCCACATCTAGGGCAATAGTGATACTTATGCCAGAGGCAATCCATGGAAGGGCAGAGGAAGCAAAATCCGAGCATCATCGGCATCATGCAACCAATAAAAGCTGCAAGACTAGGTTTTGACCTGGATTGCATTTTCAAACTAGAAAATTAGGGATCTTAAGATTAATAGCCCATAGAGCATTGAACATGCAATGAACAATAATGATTACTAAGAAAAACTTGCTAAACTACATTAATATTACCTATTAATTCATACACAAGTATTTTCATGTGAAATCACCAAAGGGTAGCTTAAAATCACCAAGATTAACTTATATCCTAATTTTGATATGATTGACATTAGATGATAACCTGGTAGAAACACAATTAACAAAGAATCAAATTTTAGTGGCATCTAGAATTACAATGTATGCATATCCAAAGAAATCACTAGAAAATGTATGCTGGTTCAAATCATCAATGACAAAGGTCATAGCTTTTAAATGCACAATTCTATCAAATTACGTCCACTGATATCAATTTTTGGGAAATTAAATTGTGGGTAATACAGCAATTCACTCAAGCTAATTTCCATAAACAATAATACTAATTGACCTAAAGATTACAAGAAAGTTGTATAATTTCATATAAAAGGGGCAAACCAATCCATCGCTTAATCCCCAATTGAGCTTAATTTCACATAAATCAAACCAATCAAAAAAAAAAACCCCAAGAATCTAGATTTTTGAGAAAACATAAAAACGAAGAAAAGGGAGAAGAGAGAGAAAGAGACAAACTTGACGGAAGTAACGGAAGAATGAGAGCAGAAAACGCAGGAAAAAGGAGCAGGGGTATCTCTGTAAAAAGTCTGGTGAATTGGGGCACCTTTAGGATCATCAAAAATGGCGTTGGGAGGAAGAGTTCCTCTTTGATAAGGGTTTTCTGCGACGTAGTAATATTGCGGCGGTTGTGATGGGAGCGGCGGTTGCGGTTGCGGCGGCGGATGTCCGGTGGTGTACGGAATTCCGAGCACTGGTTCTTCATCTTTGTTCCCCATTCAGAAATTGAGATTAAGGAGAAATTCGAAGATGGATCAATGTGATGTTTGATTGTTGATTGTTTGATTTGGGTGAATGAAAAATATGGGAGTGAAGATGGAATTTTCGTGGGGGGAGTGAATATGATGAATTTGGGACGCGCTTTTGAAATTTCTAAGCCGGCAGAAATTGGGTGTTTTTAATGTTTGGTTATTTCTTGATCATCATCATGTTTATTTTTCCTTTTTTTCTAGATACGCAGCTATGATTTAATTGGATTGGATTGCAAACATTAGTCATTTATTATATGATATATATACCTTATACGAAGTATTTGTTTATATGATATATTTCATTGTAATAACTCTATTGTACGAGTACTTGTTTTCGATGCATTTGTTTTTTCCTCATAGAATTGTTCCTTTATTTTTTTTTTTTATCTTTTGTGAGAGATGTCTTATACAAATATGCAGTGTACTGTTTTTTTATATGGAAAAAATTATTAGGTGCACTTAATAATATGTGATTACATAATTATACGCATTAATATGTTGCTCAATTTATAGGGATCTAATTAAAGTTGCATGTGGGTTAAGTCTAGTTTTTTTAATGATCATATACTATATGATACTGGAGTTAATTAACTTGATAACCCCTCTTAGCCTTCCCCCAACCCTATTGGCTGTGGCAGGGGTTCAATCCTCATGGACCATCATGAAGGACTTGATGAGAAAAGAGGGGGTATACTTAACCATTAGTGGACTATTGATGGTTAGATCGGTAATCCACATACTTATCATAACATAGAGCAACTCGATTTCACTTGTATCTGTATTACCGAGAATGTGACAATCACTAATTGTATTGTTCTACTCATTTTATGTATGTTCCATCTACATAGAAACTGAAACATATAATAACAGCTTAGTGTAAGCATTATATTGAGCATAGTAGATAAATAAAAAGTGTTGCATTGTCAAGACCATATTTCCCTGTGTCAGCATTTTGTCAATTTCATTTGGGCATGATAACTCTGGGCCAAGTATTGTAGGCCTTGGCCCAATTGGAAGCTTGCCTACCATTAGTCTATTACGACTGGTGAGAGCTTAAATAATGGATGCAGAACCATCTTGGCGTCAAGTGAGAGCTTAAATAATGGATGCATAACCATCTTAGCGTCAAGTTAGTACATTTTTGTAATGTGAATTAATTTCGGACAAAAGAAGTATGTAAAGTTGTAATGAGATGCTATATAATATAGGTACTAACGCAATGAGTTGGGGATTCCAAAGGATGGAGTAAGTGTGGAAATTAGCAGTCGGATCAAACCAAAGGTAAAACTGCTGCTCTCGGTTGCCTTGGCCTTGGGTGAAGATGTTGGTGTGTAGCATATAAGGTTGGCCAGACATGTTGCCTAAGAACTCCAAGTCAATTTCATCGTGTGTCGCTCCTAGTGAAGATAGCTGCACAAATCAAGATCGATAATAAGTTAGTACACTATGTCACTACGTACATAAAATCAATCTCTAACATTGCGTGCTCATTGTTCAAGAATCAAGAATTAACAAACAGTACGAAAATAAAATTTAATTTACTACGTACATAGTATGCAGTGACAACGCCTGCTGAGTTGTCAGGGACGAGTTTGATTTGCATATCGATCTTCCCAAACAAATACTCATTCTTGGACTTGAATCCCGAGCCAGATGATTGATCCAAAGAAAGAGTGAGAAGCTTCCCATTGTTTAAAATCGCGGCATGTTGATCACCCCAAGTTATATCAAAATCCTTGATGAAATTTCCACTCAATGCTCCTACGATTAAGTTGCTAAATAGTAGTATTATTGCTGATGGCACAAGTCCTCTAGACATAGTAACTGCGAGTGTTTCTTGTAGTGTATATATACCTTTAGTGATCGATTGTGAGAGCGAATGTTGCAAGGTGATGACGAACATAAACGAGGCTATATAATATATATACATGAACTACATACATATTTATCCTAGAAAAATTGGTGGATGAGCTAGCAAAGAGGTTGGTGATGTGGAATTTCTAAGTGAAAAACTAGGCTGGATTACTTAAGAAGTTGAGAACATTTTATTTTTAATAGAGTTGAAATTTTAACTTTGTAAGGTGCACAATGCTTAGTACAGTAATGTTGGGATAAAATGGCGGTGCGGCAGCAATATTCAAATGACCAAAGTGCGATACATGCTCAGCATTCCATTGCATTAGTACCTTAGTATATATAATTTATGATCAAAGTGGTAATCAGGTTTTGTTAAGTTGTACTTTTGAATTAAATAGGGAAGCATCAGCCACTGTTTTAATGCTTCTTAGCAACTAGGAATTAGAAGGAGTAATTATATGTTAATATGTTATTGCTAATGGCCATTTTAAGTATTGAAATCACCATTTTAAGTAGTTGTTTCAGTGCCCAAAATGGCCACCAACTTTAGGCCTATTGATTGAGAGCCCATTAAGGAATTGAGGTCCAGCAATAGGAACTTGGCCCACTAGAAAAGTTTTAAAGCCCAGATACAACCCAAGCCCAACTGCCAAAAGTAATAAATGTCTCTATTGTATTAATAAATAACGAAGGGTGATTCCAAGGGTTTTTTTTTTTCCAATTTACATTGATACTAAGAAAGTAAGAATGATGAGTTTTTAACTCAGGCATCAGAGAGAGTTCCCACAAACACCCCAAGATTAGCTTACGCATATTTGTGTACAAACAATCCAACCAAGCAAGATAATACGAGTACAAATGTATAATATTGAAACTTTTCTTGCATTGCACACAAGTAAAACTTGTGTGCCCGAAACACAAGTAAAACTATCTAGGAAAATTGGGGGTATCACTAAAACACTGCACAAGACCGTCCTTATTGTCATGTTCATACTAAGATTTATGGTTGCGTACTTGGTTGTTGAGTGAGTTTGTGAGTGTCCCTAGCTTAAATGAACGACTTGTAGAAGGTTAACCCTTTCATGGTTCCACTCATTCAGTCTCATGTTCGAGGCTCCTCACCACCGACCTCATTTTCATGAGCCATGGGTATCCCTCACTATCCCACCATAGTCGGTTAGTCACTAATCAACAAGAAACCCATGGTGTAGTGTACTAGTGTGTACCATATTAATTAAAATGGCCAATATATATAGGTAAGCTAGGTTTAGTTTTCTTTCACCTTAATCTTATTACTTATAAGTTACTTATACTAATAGTTAAAGAAAAATCAAATAATACCAAATCAGACTAAAAATAATTCAAACAGTTTAAATAAGAAGAAGAGAATAAAGCTTGGTAACAATATACCATAGTACTCCGTATAACAATATAAGGAGTAACGTGGTTGAAGTTCTAGAGAAGAGTGAAGCAGTAACAAAAAAAATTGTAAAATATAGATAAGCGCGCGGTAGCCGGAGGATTTCCCTGGTGTTGGGGTTCACAAAAAAAAAAAAGCACGCACAAGAGCATATGGAAAGAATGATTGTTTTAATTACCTCTATTTTATAAAAAAGCAAACTATAAAAGCTTAATTAATCAATAAGTACACTATATTAAGAGCTGAATGGGTAAAAAACTAAACATACTTGGTATGATATATCATCTGTATATGTGTATGGGTGGATAAATATGGGGTAGCACGCCATGCCCTCCACCCACTCGGATTTGTTCCCTAATACTGCTATTTTTCTTGTGCTTGTAAAAGATCACATAATTATCCCTCGTTGACTGTGCTTAAGCTTTAAGGGAATGGAATTTTTACAATTATACTATAATTCTACCTAGTTATACTTCCAATACAATGCGTTTCAACCTAACTTAGCTCGTCTTCAATTGAACTTTCATGATTTAATTGAGTTAATATTGTTATTCATCACTTACATTTAAAACTATTTATTCCCTTTGTCTCTAATTCATGTTGACTTTTGACTTGTCAAAATATTACGGAATACTCCATCTATTAGGCAGCATTCATATAATTCTTAATGGTTCTAAACAAGGGTTGGCTCACTTGTTAAGCTTCTTACATTGAATTATAGAGGTTTGGAATTTGACTCTTATTAAAGTATAGTAGATTAGTAGTGTTCTCGAAATTCTCTTAACTTAATTGACTTTATTGAAACTTATGAGTCATTATTTTATATCTAAACTTTTCAACCATTATATATTATCTTTAACTAAACACTTCGTATACCTGAAATAAGAAATAAATGAAAATAAGATGAAAAGAACGAACTATGCGAAAGCAAAGAAAAAAGAAAAGGAAAATGAGAAATGAATGAGGAGGGCCAAAGGGAATATTTGGTAGAGTTGGAATGAGGGGTAAAGAGTCGAAAGTGTCTGAAAAAATGGCAGCAGAGATTCCTACAACAGGCAAAATAACAAGGACAACAATACCATTAGCATGGCCATGTCTTAGCTGAGCTTGGACCTTCTTCCTAATTAATTTAGTCCTTCCTTCAATTCCATCTATCAGTCAGTCTCTCTCTCTCGTTATCATTTTATTAATAATACTGAATTGTATTATGTATTCCACTTTGCAACCATATATTATAGCTCCTGTACGTACGTACTGTATCATGTGTCTCTGTGTCACCCTTCTTAGCTAGAAGTTGTTTTTATTTTGTTTGCAAATGCTCTTTTTATTCACTTATTTTTATTCTTTTTTGACTCTGACCCTTCTCTTACTATCTACACACTGACTCCACTTTCTTGACTAATACATGAGTTACATAGTAATTTTTTAAGACCGTCTTATTATTATAAAACTACCTAATTTGTGAGTTTAGACAAGGGAAAAAAGAAATTAGGATAGAATCACAAGCTTCCACAAAACAACAAAAGTAGTCGCGTCTTATGATATTATGGTAGTCTTAGACAAATGGTTCTCCATTTGCTTTCTTCTGAGTATTTCCTTTCCACCCTTAGCCGAAATAGTTCATGCTTTTGCTACGAGTACATACAATAGTTCTTAATATAGTTGACTAGTACACTAATTAACTAGTATATTTTCTAAATATATAAATGCTGCACTCTAACATTTTAATTAGTTATATATTACGGAGTACCAAATAATTAACTAATTAACAAGATAGACTAAACTTCGATTTTGTTTGTATTAATCGTCTTTTAGCCAACATCTATTCACCTTTCATCTTTTTTAACCCAACCAAAAATTATGTTTGGTACACGTGAAATATTTTGAAACCTACCTAAGGTTAAACTTCTCAATCAATTTTAATTTCAATTTCACATATTTTTTAGTTAAGATAAGATGAGCTATATATAATTAACTAAGCTAGTAGATGGAAATTGGTTGACTTGCTTGATAAATTGACAAATTTGTTAATGAAAAAGGGTAGTGGACGAAATGTAGATGAGCCAACTGGTTTAATTGTAACAAAAAAATAAAATAAGATGTCATATATTCTTATATACTTATATAGGAGGCGGCAAAAGGAGCTTTCCACGAATGTTTTCTTAAGATAGGCTCTAACTTTGTTGAAATTTAAGTTGCAAATTAAATGTTACATCTCATATTAATTAGGAAAGCTACTGCCGGTTAAAACAAAATACTTTTAGATTGAATTGTATTTTTCGCAAACTATTTGACCAATCTTTTATTTCTCTTTCAGGATTATTATTATTATTGTCGATGTTTATCTTAATAAAGTTAATTACTTCCTCCATCCCTTATTTACATGCCTATTTTTAATATTTATTACTCATATAATAAAAAGAAATAGACATGTAAATAAGGAATGGAGGGGGTATAATTTTGAAAGACTTATTATATTTATCACGAAAACAATAAAGTTAATAGTCCTCTTTCCATCATAAAAAGAAGTTTGTTTTTTACATTACCTACTATTACCATGTTTGCTATAATATAGTTTCAAATTGTATTTATGTCGATAGCGATTTAATTGAGTTAACTCTCTATTACATTTCGTAACTTTGACATTTGACTAGTTTAACTTATATAAAGGTTTTAGAAAAAGAAAAGGAAAAAAAAAGTGTGTTAGTAGAATTAATAAAATTCTCTTTTCAAATTGAAAAAACAAGTAATTGAAATGTATTGGAAACTTAAAAAGGTTATAGTTTCAATTGAAAAATTGGATTGATGAGATCAAATTATAAGTTTTGGTTTGAGATGACATTAATTTCAAATTTCCTTAAATTAATAACAAAATAAAGATATCAATTAACTAAAGAAACATATCAGTCAATTGATGTCTAATAGCAGCCAACAAAAGAAACATATCAAACATTAAAAAAAAAAAAAAAAAAAAAAAAAAGCATTCCAGCCAACAAAAGGAATATATCATCCAACACAAAAAAACATATCAGCCAACAAATAAAACATATCAGCAAAGCCTGCCGCACGTAATTATGCGTACGATAGTCCGCACACAATACATTCTCTATAAGTAAGTGTCCGACATGGTTAAGCAACAAGTTATTTTCTTTTCTATTGGCTATATATTTGAGCATATTTTATGAAATAAGACATATGAGCGAGTAATCTTTAGTTTGTTATGCAATAACTTATAACCATATCATTGAGCATGTCTAATTCACTTATTTCTATTAATCTGAATTTAATTAAACTTATTTAAATCTTATTTTAGTTGAAATTTGAATTTGAATAACTCTTATGAAACATTTTATCTCGAAATAATTAACTTATCGAAACTTATAAGACCCGAAATAAGTTCAATAGAATAGGACGAAATTTAACAATGATATGACAAAATCCTAAGATTATTGATATTGAAAAGATTATTGATGTATATAGAAATCCAAAACCAATAATCATGATACTAAAGCTTTGTTTTTTGCACTATTTTTTAACATATACTTCGTATATTATTTGACAGGAAGATGAATTAAACTTAAGAAAACATTAGATCATATGACATTTTGTTAAATTCGTGTCAATGTATATTTATAACATTTTACAACTTTCACTCATTGATGATTTAAATTATATTATGAACATTTTTATGCACAAACAAGCGTGAAAATTTAAAAGGTCATAACCGAGAAAAAAAAATAAAAAGTGGATTGTTTAACAATTTTTGAAATCTATTCTCTAATAATTATGAGGTCATGCGTTTTAACTATACAAGTTGATATGTAATTCCTTTTACGTAAAGCTATGAGGATAGTATATTAGAAAGATAGATATAACGTGATTGAGGGTGTCACATGACAAGTGAATGTACGCAACGACTTAACAATCAGGTTGAACTTTTTCTTTGATGTAGCTTAATATATTCAATATTTTTTGGTTAAAGGATAAAGGCAAAATTATAATTCAACAGTGAATAATAATTGACGAATTCTAAGATTATTGAATTTGATTTCGATTTATAAAGAAAATTTTTAAACATTTTCCAAATATACCAATATTAATAATGTAAAAGAAACAAATTGCATTAAAAAAAAAAAAAAAAAAAAAACATATAGGCATGTATTTAACCATAAAAATCAGGAAAATTAGTTAAGTCAATAATGAGATTCCACGACTTCCATAAATGAAATCAATCAATTTTAATGATGATTGACAGTAAAATAAAAATGAAATAATAGGCTGGCGCGTGTATACTTGTTGTTAACTTGTTAGTTGTAATTTTACAAATTTACCAAAATACCCTCATGAAAGTCTTCCCCCACCACCACCATTGTGTATTTTGTGTTTGCTTCTTTCTGTCTTTCAACACCTTCTTTTACAATTACACGCTCTTTCCTCTTTCATCTCTCTCTCATAACAAACCCCATCTTTCTCTCTCCTCCCCTTTTCTCTAATCTTTCTCTCATTTTTGGAAGAAACTTTTTTTTTGAAAGAAGACCTTTTTTTTTCCAATTTGGTTTCATATTTGGAGAAGAAAGATTTTGGTAAGCAAAGTTATTTTTGCTTAAAAATCAATAAATCAATTACATAAAATGGCAACAATAACCGCATCATTAGAGCGATCACTTCAAAACTGCTCTTTAAACCAAACCACCAGAACCCGCCGAGGTGGCGGCGGAGGTGGCGGTGGTTTAGAGCGGTCATCGTCGTCTGATTCGCCGGAAATTATTCACAATCATAAAAATGACAACCGTGTTAGACGGCGTGCTAACGATCAATCTTTGGTAGGCGCGACGACGACAACAACAACACAACAACACTGCTCAAACGCCGCATCTTCATCAGATGAAAATTCAACATTCGTAGAACTTAACTCCCATGTTTCTCTACCTTACCATTGGGAGCAATGCCTTGATTTGAAGGTTCGTTTACTTTTATTTTTTTTGGGCTCATCTCTATTTTTGTGGGGTTGATAGGGATACTTTTGTGTAGTTAATTTTTGTATGATTCTTCCATTTATGAATGTTTTCTTGTCAATAAATACCCTTCTATTAATTACTTCTATCGATTGATTTTACTACTTGCATTCAATGTTCATTCATTAGGAATTTTTCGTTCTTAGATTTTTTTCTTCTTTGTATAAAACCCTAATTCAATATTAAAATTAAAATTGCAATAGATTTATAGATAGGTTGCAGTTGTTATTATAATTTTATTCTTTTTTAATTTGCATGCAATACTCCAAAAAAAAAAAAAAAAAAAATATCTTGAAATGGCGCAAGAAACAATTGCAAATTTGTATGCCTTTTCATTTAGCTTTCTTCTATTTGGAGATAGAAGTCATATGTTGTTTAATTTTCAGCAATGTCATACATAAATAAGCCTAATAGTATGAAAATCGTTATGTATAATGACAGACAGGGGAGTTATATTACATAAATTGGAGTAATGGGATGAAAGCAAAGGAAGATCCAAGAACTACAGGTTACAATGGTGATTATTACTCAGAAGGCGAGGCGGATGATGATGAAGATGAGGACGAGGATGAAGAAGAGGAGAGCAACTGCTATGATAGTGAGAGTTCATCAACTGAATCATCTCCGTGTTCGAGTAATCGGAAAGGGAGTTTCCGATCACTCAAGAAACAACAACAACAACAACAAGAGCCAGAATTGAACCAAGAATCAGTATTAGTAGTGGCAGGTTGCAAGAGTTGCTTTATGTACTACATGGTGCCTAAACATGAGGAAGACTGCCCCAAATGTTCTGGTCAGCTTCTTCACTTTGCTGCCAATAATTCCTCCCCTTAGAATTTTAATATCAAATTAAACCGACATTATTTATTATCATCATCATTATTATTATTATAAATCAACTCCCTTTTTCTGAAGTCTATATAATCTTTTTTTTTTTAGTTATAATCCTAGAAATGGAGGAGGAAATTGTATTTTATTTTTTAAATTTTTAGTGGTTTAGTTTGTTAATTAAGGTGAATTGATGGTAGATAGAAGAAAGAGTGAGAGGGGTGGATGAATGGTTGATTCTTGATTGTGACATTCTGTAGCTTTGTTCTTTCTCTTATCTCCCATGCTCACATAAATATTATATTTTCAATTTTCTTTTATTTTAGTCTACTCTCTCTTTTTCTTTAATATAATTCGTCTCTTTTTATATATTTTTGACTCCATAAATTATGCAAGATTATTTCATTAAGAAAATTATATCCATGATTTATGAGTTAGTCATTGACTATAGAGTAGTTATTTTAATACTATGTATGTTTGTGCCTTTGACATTTAATATATTGAGTGATTGAATGTCAAAAACTACAAAGTGTTAAAACAAATGATTGATTGTGTTCTGGTACATGCATATTGGCATATTGCATATGTATACAAACATGCTTCTTGATGACTGCAATTTTTTAAAATTTATGTCATTTATTGGTCTTTCATGTTATAGTGTTCGCAATGAGCTGTACTACTTAACAAAGATGCTTAATTCTTACTCCTTTGGTTATTACTTAAATACTTCTTGTGAGCTACTAGAATCCAATATAATACTCGTAGAATGTGTTGTCTATGCACCATATTGATCACAATACATACTGAGTACTTATGTAGTGGTCGTTTAGTTGTACATTGAAACTTGTTAATACGTGGATGTCAGTTTGTCAATGTCGTTGATTTTGTGCCCGACAAACATTTATTTTCTCCACATAGTTTTGTAATGGCATGATAAAAACCCTTCAAATGAACATTACACAATTCTTCCCACATTCACAATCATGCCATTACAAGATAACCCTGTGATATTGACTACCATTCTGTCTTTTACTTATAGAAGTAACTCAAGTAAGGCATAAGCATTCATAAGACCATGATCAAAGCTTAATTAGTCATAGAAGAGGCCATTTTTACCTATATATTTATCTTGTTTGTTGAAATGCTAGCAAATCAGCCGTCGCCATGTAGTTATAGCAGTCCTAACCCTTACGTTTATCATGGTTGACTAGGAAAGCTTTATTTTTTTGCCCATCTTTTTCTTCCCCCTTTTTAAAAGAATAAAAGCTAAGTTAAAACCGAAAGTATGATCAAGTAGTTTGACCCTTATTCTACGGGAGGTGATATCCATACTCATCAAATCATCAATGTCACAAGTTGAAGTTATATACGAAGAAGCTTGTATATAATGGGGTTTGCACAATCATTTACCACCTGCTCCAAGTCAGTCCACTTATATTAATTTTAAATCAATTAGATTGTTATCCTTTAGCAAATCTATTTTTTTTAATTAACCCACATTATTATTATTATTATTATCTTTTCCCCAACTATTATTAGTTGCCTTAATTCTTGATTAATCTACTTCATATTTTTCAAATTTTGTTTTGGTTTATTTCTTGATCACATGTGATTCATAATGCAAGCGAATTTGATTTAAATTGATACCTAAAGTATTACTTCTTGCATTCCTTATTATTGACATTGTATTTTAAACCACTTGAAATATTATTACTCCATCTGTTCCCTTAATTTTGTTTTTCCTTTTACTCCGTATATCCAAATAGGACGAACAAATAAGAACGATAATATTTGAACATAAAAAATGGACTCATAGAATGGGAAGAGATGAGCTGTAAACAATGGTATTTGTCTGGTGGTAGAATGGATTGGTAGTTTGGTATAGAGGCAAAACACCTCTATATTTAAGCTATAAAGTTACAGAGTATACAGTATGTAGGAAACACTAGCAAACAAGAAAATCTAAAGGGACCTTTCTTCGTTTGGTTTCTCATTGTCATTCGTCAGGGGAATCTAAGCAGGTTTTTGCTGTTAAAATTGCCACCACCAACAGCAGCAGCAGCAGGATGAAAGAGAACCTATACTGTGTTCATTTTCTTTCTTGATAGTAACATGACTTGTACTACTACTATCCATTTCGTTATGGTCCATGTTACAGTGTTGCAAATATTCCCTCTCTTATTGTTCTTTTAGCTAAGATCACGGGTATCCTGTGCTTAATAGACTCTATCTAATATGGATTTGAGATAGGTCGACTTTTATAGAGTGAAACCTCTCCCTTTCGATTTTGTTATATTCCGTACTACTTTCGTTTTTTTTGTTACATCACTTTTTTTAAAACGAAAGTTTTAAAACGCTGCATCACTTTTCTTTTTAGTTTATAAACGCTCTTTATCACATGGGTCCACTTTTTTATTCTCTCTATGCCTCACATCTCCTAAAATTGTCTATCAGTCTGCAATTTACAAAGTAATGTAACTTAAAAAATAGAGAAAACATTTCTAAAACTTAAACCCAAGAGATGTGTTTAAGTTAGAATAACTCCGCTCAGTGATCCAAACACGCCGAAATTGAAACATAAAATCAAGAGATAAGTTTAGATCAAGGCCAATATGTACTGTAGTAATTAGAGTTACTAAGTTAAATTAAGATTAAGAAAGAATATTAAGCTACATTGAAGATTGAAGGGCAAAAAAGAAAGAGGTCCAGGTGACAGAAAATAGATGGAGAGAAAGAGCAGGCTAAAAAAAAAAAAATATCTACATCAGTGGGTTTCTGATAGTCTGGAAACTCCAGAAAAGAGAATCTGCTTTTTGTGGGGCTTTTTTGTCCTCCTTTCTGACTTCTTTTCTTTCTTCTTCTTGTTGTTGTTATACTCTTTTATCCACCAATCGTTTTTTTTTTTTTTTTTTTTTTAAAGTTAGCCACATTTTTGTTTTCATATTTCTCTCAAAACTCTCCCCCTTCTCGGTAAGTTAAAACTCGTTACCCACTTTGTTACAATCAAAAGACTGAGTTATTGTTCTCTTCTGTAAAGATTAGTACGGTGTACTTGGTTCACGTAGACATTTTTATATACATTCTGGTATATAATATCATATACGAATATTATTTACATACCTTCGGGTATAAGGTATACCAAAATTCCAAAAAAAAAGTGCACTTGAGGGTATATGTATGAATTTTCAAAAGAAAATCCCCACACTTATAAACTCAACTCACTACATGTAAATCTATGTACATTTGTCTCTTTGATGATGTATTCCATCCGTAATTAGTAAATCTTATGGCTTAACTATCAAAATATGTGCCACTCAAAATAAATCAAATATGTATTTGATTAATAATGAAATTTTATTTCTCATTTGTATTTGCTTAACTTAGCTAAAATAGCTTATTTAATTGTTTAGTGATCACTGCCTTAAACTAAAAGTCTATTAGAACAATATTTGATTGTCAAAGCTTAAATTAATTCCCAACTTATTTCGCTATAAAATCAATTTCAAACCGTATTTCAAATACTAATTGGGTTAAGACGTGTTATTGTGTAATCAAATCTAAATATCTAATACTTCCTATGTTTTTCTTTTTACTTGCAACACTTCTCTTTTTACGCTTGTCGATACATTATTTCAATCGCTGTTATATTTATTTAACAATATGTAAAAATTAGAAAAAATTGTCAAAAATAATACAAACTTTGAACTGTCCGCCAAAAACAAGTTAATCTTTTGATTATTTCTAAATAATACAAACTTTGAGGGGGGGTCCGTTTTGAACAAGTTATGACCTATTGATGACTTATTTAACAGGTTATATGGGACACGTGTCATCGTTTTATCGGTTTGACAATTATTTTTTTTACATCTTTTTAATTTATTTAATGTTTTTAATTATTAAAAATTTAATTAATATTAATTATTATTATTAAAAAAAAGCCACCAATTATTATTATTAAAACTTCTAATTTCTTTTGAAAACATTATTATTATTATTATTATTATTATTATTATTATTATTATTATTATTATTATTATTATTATTATTATTATTATTATACACAAAAACCTACAAAGTCAATCGATTTACAAGAAATTAGTGGGGAGTCGAGATACAATCTGGGCCCCCACCCCTCTAGCTATAGCGAACCCGATCCTGTTGAAGATGTGAGCAGCTGCACGAGCACCAATATCCTGAGTCCTAGCGAATGCCTGAACCCGCTTTAGCAGCACAACAACATCCCTCTCTAATTCCCCCAAAGAAGAAAAGGAGAAAGGAAGAAAACCATAGCCAATAGCCCTGCAACGCGCCCCATACTTGTCTCGCTTCCGCTGAGCCGCAACCGACACAACACGACCAGGGACGAAGTTAGACAACCCAGATAGCGTCAAAGGGGAAGACCCCGTCAAGTCAACACATACATCAAGGCCTCTATCCCAGGAATAAAGCAACACATCTGCTGGTCGAAGAGCCCTGTTGTTCCCTCCAGTCAACCCAACGTTAACCTCCTTTCTTGCAGAAATCCCAGAGCGAAAACAAATATCAACAAGGGTATCACGAACAACGTTGTGCCGATGTTTAATACCCACAACCCAGCATAGGACACTGCATGATCCCCATAAATATCCCCATCAAAAACCCTTGAGCAAGCTGAACACGGTGTCGAAACAGAGAACAAGGGAACGCCCAACCGGTAGCAAAGAACACAACAGTAAGTCTTACCATTCATAGTTTGACCCAAACCTGATATTGGGATCGCTCGCAACTAGGCAGAAGTGTGATCCCCCTACTGGGATTTCCATCTCCTATTAGTCTCAAAACCGAGCTATCTGCTAAATGAAGAAGTTCACTGCGAGGCAACCTGACGCGGAGATAAGGAGAAAGTGGATTCTACAGATACAGTGACCTTCGTGAAATATATATCTGCCAATTTCTTCATGAGTTTGGGGGCAGCGATCTCACTAGGGTTACGCATAAGGTCAGTCTCTAAAGTCCTATTAAAAAGACTAAGAGCACCATCGAAGGCTGGTCCTGGATCAACAATACCAGAATTGCGAAGAAGCGAAACCTGCAACCAGAAGACTGCAAACACGACGCAAGGAAAGCATAGTGCCGGACATCACCCGCTGAATAGACACCCAATCCACCAGAAGAAAAAGGTAAGGTGGCAAGTTGCCATTGTCAATCACCAAAACCTAGCCCCGAAGCAGTTACAATACGTTGCAAATAAGCTCGAAGGGCCATATCAAAAGAAATATGGGTTGCTTCAAAAAGATAAGGAGGACAAGTGCGCATAGAAAAGTAGAGTTTTGAAACCCAGTACATGCACGAAGTAGTAACAACTCACATTGGGGGTCATCAAGCTCAGCAACAGCATCCATTAACTCGATGGTCTTTGACACTCTCTGCGAAACAAGCTCACCACAGAAAGAAGAATCCGAACTGACAGGACCGCCAAGCAACTTAACACCATGAACATGACGAGCAATATTAGGAGGAAAGACACCGACCAGACGGTTACGTGGGTCCTCCGTGGGCCAGAAAACTTCCGTTTTTTGAACGTTTACATGGAGGCCGAGACGAGGTCCCTCCACCAAAATCAACTCCAAGGTATCACCAATAATAGTGCCATCATCCAAATACCAAGCCTGCAAACACAAGTCGAAAGAATCCCTGATTCGGCACACCAACGAATGGAGCACCAAAGCAAAAAGCAAAGGGCCAAGAGGATCACCCTGCTGCACTCCCTAACATGACCTTAAGGTATGATTTCCATAAAACAGTCTGACTGGAGAAGAGTAACAGAATTCAACCCAACACGAGAGAGCTGGACAACGGAGGCAGACCTTTTATTATTATTATTTTTTTTAATGAAAAAAACCTTAATAAAAAAAAAAAAGAAAAGAAAAAAACCACCCACCACCACAGCCCAGCCACCACCCCCTCTCCCACCGCCAGTCGCTGCCCAGACCCCTCCATCCCCCTCAAGTTGGCCGGCCGACCGACCGACCAGCCCCTCCCCATGCCCTGCCTCGATTCGACCCTTCCCCTTGCCTTGCCCCGATTCGACCCCTCCCCTCCCCCCTAACCGGAACGTCGAACCCCCCTCCCCTTTCTCCGCCGTAAGCCGGCGCGACCAAAACCCAAAACCCCAGACCTAAACCATCCTCAATTCGTTAGGGTTTAGGCTGGGGGTTTTTGGTTCCGGTGACGAGGAGGGGAAAGGGGTTGTGTGGGGAATCGGGGAAGGGAAAGGGAAGGGGTGAGGCTAGGCTGGTCGGCCTACCGGCGCGAGGGGGAGGGAGGTGGTTTGGACGGCAGCTGGGTGTAAGGCGAGGGTGGCTCGGCTGTTGGAGGGAGTGGGAAGGGTGGTGGTGGTGGTTTTTTTTTTAAAAAATAATAATAATAGTTAATTAATTATATTCTTTTTAACACAAAATTAATTAATTTTTTAGTTAGGATTTATTTAATATTTAATTAAGAGTTATATGAGAAAATAACCATGCTTAAAGTTTTGATTAGAAGTAAATTATATAGTTAAACACTTTTATTAAAAAAAAAAAAAGTTAATCGCTCATATAAGTTGTAGGTAATTATCTTGTTTAAAGCGAACACCCTCCCAAAGTTTTTATTATTTAGAAATAATTAAAAGATTGACTTGTTTTTGGCAGACTGCTCAAAGTTTGTATTATTTTTGACAATTTTTCCTAAAATTTATAAACATATTATATTAAAATAGTATAAATCGAGACGACGAGACGAGACGAGCTTAACAAAATCCCACATGATTATATATGTTCTTAGCTATTAATCATCAATGCTAGTCAAAGTGAAGCAAATGAATAGTATAAATTCAAAATGTTGCAAGTATAAAATAAACCGGGAGAAGTATCTCACTTTTCCGAACAAAAAAAAAAATTATCGGTAGGGAATTGAATTAATATGAATAATCATGTTGGTTAATCTAATTACATTTATATCATTTATAATTCTTTAAAAGGTTTTACCAATCATTTAAGTCTTAAAATCAATTAAAATGCCAATATGCTATGTTGTGCCATCTTGAAATGATGGTAGTACTTGGATCCGAGTATGTTGTTGAAGATGTAATATGGATCAGCCACTTGTTTTTCCAAATGGGCCAGGCTTTGTAGTTCAGTTACTTGTCAGAAAAGAGAAACAGCTTAATGGGTTTATACTTTCATCCGCAACTTCCAACCACAAAAATCCCATTTTACTATGGTCCAAAGGTCTCTCTAACCACTAGAATGTTTGCAGATCGCATACACTTTGGGTTGAGTTGAAAGCTGAAACCATCTTTTCCAACTATTCTTAGGACATTTGGTCCATTTTGAACCATAATATTCGATGGACGTATGTAAGTTTTTCACATTCTATCATGCACTCAGATGTACTTCAAAGAAGATATACCCCAAGGCATGCAGGATGGAGGATGACACAAGTGTAAAGATTGAATCATTGAATACCATGTATTGATTGTTTTGTAGATAGAATTTAAGGTAAAATGACATTGATAAAACTCATTCTTACATACTTTGTATACACTAATAAACCAATAATAATCATATGAGTACTTAAAAACATAAATAATAATGTACATCACATCAATACAATAAAAACAAGAAACATACAATTACAAACTACAAATCCTACAACAAAACATGAGGCAGAAATAGAATCCTAAATATGCTAAAATCATACCGAGTGAACCCAAAATACTTGTACCATAAAGCACAACCGCATTTCGCTATCAAGAAGATGATATAGATCAGGTTCTAGCTAGTGCGATGCAGCGGCATGGGGACCATAATCAGAGGCCCTAAAGTGAGTAAGGGTCTCCAAGAGATGATGGGTTGCCTTGTCAAAATTGACAAATCCCATGAACCAGAACTCATGGTTGTCTATTGTTGTCATCTGAATGTATCTTTCATTAGAATTCGCTCCCATAGTCGTCGGGTTAATCGTGCTTATTTGTGCCAGTGGTATCATAACCTGTCACATGAAATAGCACATTTTAGTACTTAAACCAATAAATAACAGTAACGAAGATGGCATTTGATCATCAATTAATCTATATATCGCGTATATAGTTTCAGTACCTTGTAGTAGCTCCAAGCCTCTTGGCCAGAAGGAGCAATGAAAGAAAGTGGACGATCACTGCAGAAGCCAACCCTGACATTAGACAGGTACAGGGTTCCTGCAACAGGTCCTTTGGTGGTGGAGAGGTAACAAGCAAAGGTCTTTTTGAGCTTCTCGTCGGGCTGTGTTTCAAAAATCTGCTTGAACATCGGCTCAAATCCACCCTCTGTGAGTGCCTTTGCCGTCAGATTGATCTTTCCCCAGGCTGCTTCTGATATTGACGGCCCTGTTTTCACTGCATCCAAACAATTTTCTTACTACTCTCGGTCAAAGTTTCTCTTAAAAATTGACGTTTTTAGACTTAAACCATTTATATGACATACATATCTCCATATTTGATGAACGAAAACAATCAATTCAAAGAGGCAAGAGCCAATCAGAAACAATCAATTAAAAATCTTGATCTTCTGAAGTAATTAATTTTAGAAGGGTTCGGACGAGTTAGCTATACAACGGTTGCATTGGATATTTACTGGTTAAAGGAGACTTACAGTTAGACCAGATGTTACGAGCAATAGTCTCAGCCTTCTGGCTCCAAGTGTTGAAGGCATGTATAACAGGCTCAAGAGGGTTATTAGTAGGGGCTTTATCCAAAGGAGAGTATACCAAGTAAGGTTGATCATGAAAAAACTGTCTTTGGTGCTCATCTGCCCTCCACAAGGCCGCTTGCTGGTTGTCTGGATGGGCTGTCGGATTAGCCGGCGGCCCCATCATGTGAGTCCCCCACTTCTTTGTATCTTCATGATCCGGGACCGCTTCCTGTGGTTGCGGTTGTGGTTGTGGTTGTGGCTGTGTCTGTTCTTCTTGATGTGTTCCCGCCATTGGTGGTTTGTTTGATCAGTTGAACACAATGCGAACAAATTAGGCAAGTAGATTAATGAGGTGTTATGCTTTGTTAGGTACACATAAAATTGGTCTAAGATGATTTATTTATATACTAATCAGATATTCTAAGCAAGCAAATACAAGTTGAGTTGTTCCAAATTGAAGATGTCATTTCCACGCGGTGTTGTAATTCCTTTCTTGTTAAGTAAGATCACAATTTTTGGTGACTTATTGTTAACCATTAACTTCAACCTATGTTATACATGTTCATAGTTTCAAATTTATAATTTCCAATTAACAATTAACAAACATATCAAGTACTCCCTCCGTTTTGTTAAAAATGTATCGATTATTTATAAATTATGATCAAATTTATTTTATTAATCGTCATCGACTCATGTATCTATCCTTAACTTTTATACAGTATAATAAATAAATAAATAAATAAATGCTAAAGATGTGAATTAGACAGGTAGAGATATGAATTTAATGTAGGATGTGGTGGAAATATATGGGACTCTCCAGAAATGCGGCTGGGTAGTTTGGATTTGTTTAGAAGATGACTGATGTCGACATATGTTGATGACTAGCAATATTGCTGATTGAAACACCAAACTTTAATTACAAATTCAAAACTAAAAATAAAAATAAATAAATGGCAGAGATGTTTCTGGAGTAGATGTCCAATTTTCAGTAGCGTGGACCGTATTCATAAGCCCATAAATATGTGAGCATATGGTCCAGGCCCATCATTTAAAAGCTTAAGTATAGTTTTCCAAGAGGCCCAAAAAGACTACCGTTTGAGGTTTTTTTTTTTTTTTTTTTTTTTTTTGTTGTTGGCAATTTGGTACGAGTATTCAAGAGTATAATATCAAGTTAATAACACTTCTATATCAAACCAACAAAGATTGGCTACTTGGCTCAAATGCTAAGCAACTTGATGATACTTAAGGGGGGTCCGGGTTAAAGCCTCACCACATGCAAAATTTCTTAATAGGAGATTCACCTTTCAGCATAAGCCAAGTGTGAGACACGTGTATAGACCGATTTAATAGATGTACTGATGTACATGTGTAATAAATGTACATGTGACATGATGTGTTTGGCAAAGGGTTCATCATCGTGCATGCATTTGTTGTTAGCTAGCTAGCTAGCTGTTAGTTTGGCAATAAGGATAACGACGAAATATAGAAATTTCGCCAATACTTCTAAAATTAACGTAGGAAGGAAAGGTAGTGTTAATCCTTAAAAGCAAAAGTAGGATTTTACAAACTTCGACTTCATTAATATTATACCAACAAACTTAATTTGCCTCTATATCTTATCCTTTTAATTGTCTCTCTACTCATATTCACAAGTTTAATTTGCTAATCAAATGTTTTAAATACTACTCATACAATTCCTAAATTCGAACAAAAATTATGAGCTACTCTAATGTTACCCATGTTGGTCATGAATCATACCCTCCATCTCAAGGCAAATACCTTCTTTTATTTTTCCTTCTAAATTTCATAATTTTATACTTTTAATTTTACATGTATAGTATGGTGCATAACTTTAATTTTGGTGCTAATGAATTGAGCAGGTTGGTATCCTGGACCTGGACCGGAAACTGCACCGCCTCCACCGCCTCGGCCAGGTTTTGAGCAGGGGTATGGATCAAGGCCGCCTCCAGGGCCTGGGTATCAAGGTTACTTCAGTGACAATTACCCACCACCAGTAGCCCACGTCCACCACAGTGGCCCAACTCATTATCCCTATCAGCAGCCCTATGAAGGCTATGATTACTCCTATGATTCTGGCTGTCCACCCTTCCTTAGGGCTTGGTATTATTACCATCTTCTTTTTTTTTTTCTTTTCTTGTTTTATGTTCTTTGCCTAGGGATGAACACGGTTCGGTTTGGTGCGGTTTGAGTACCAAACCAAACCAAGCCACAAAATACGATTTGGTCAATTTTTCAAATCAAACCAAATCGTATTAGTATCCTAACCAGATCAAATCAAACCGTAATAATATGATTTGGTTTGCGGTTTATAACGAGATGACATTTTTTTCTAAAAATTGCGAAATGATACTTCATTAACTTATAATAAAGTTAAAATAATTAGTCCAAATGGATTAAATTGTACTACAAATTTACAATAGAAATAACACATAGTAAAAGTAACAATCAATTGATCATCATATAACATAATACATTATTACACATAAGTCTGATTGGCAGCAACAAATTGGCAGCAACCTACTGACCGTATATGTATTTTGTTTTTTAATGTTATTATTATTTTATTAAAATTTATATAAATATTAAAATACAGTTAACTAGTTTACGGTTTGGTTTGGTCTGTAATTTTTGAAAAACCAAACCAAACCGTAACCCGTATTTACAAAAAATTCTAAACCAAACCGTATTTTATAAACCGTAAACCAAACTAAACCATTAAAATGCGGTTTGGTCCGGTTTAATTATGGTTTAGACCAAACTGTGTACAGCCCTAATTGCTATCTAGATTATAAAATTTTTACAATACTGTTTTTCGTTTTTTCTAATTGCACCATTTGATTTAAACATAATACATTGTCATTTAGAACTTGAATTGTATAAAAGATAAGGGATATTGGTGTGTAAATACATGCAAAAAAATAATAAGTATGAAACTATGAATGCACATCAAAAATTGAAATAATACAATTAATATAAAGGTGAATATGAATGAATCAAATGGATTTTGCTATGGCGGCAGCTAGGTTAAGTGTTCTAGGCCCTACTTCCACTTTTGGTTGGAATTCGGATGGAAGTAGTGGAGGTCTCCTAGTTTTAAGTTGGTCTAATGATGTAGTAGAATGCTTGTATTCCTCAAAAAACTTTATCCTTTGTAAAATGATTGAATCAAATGGAAGTATGAAGTATGTACTGTTTTTTTTATGGTGAGCCTCAAGTAGAAATAGAAGAATAGTATGGGAACAACTTCAATGGTTTTTAGAAGAATTCAAAAATGTTCTAGTCATAGGAGATTTTAACCAAGTGGAAGTGGGAGTGACAAGCTAGGGGGTTCGGCTCGAATAAGAGGAATTGATGCCTTCCTAGATTGGAGATTTAGTAGTAATGTGACGGAAGTTACGTTCCTTTTTCGGGACCAAGGTTCACTTGGAGTAACAAGAGGGAAGGGAACGATCTCATTCTAGAGAGGCTTGATCGAGCTTACATCACGTAGGAATATGGGAGGATTACACATGAACCGACAGTTTGCTCCGACCATGCAACCATCACTTATCATGATCAGCCTAGGTCTACTACTTCTAATAGGCCTTATCAAATTGAGAATTGGTGTCTTGCCTTCCCGGAAATCAAAGAAATAGTGGAGAATTCGTGGAAGGAGGAGTTTCAGGGTTCGTACAAGTTTCAACTTTCAAGGAAGCTTGATAGGATAAGGTCAAAGCTCCAATACTGGTGCTTGGAAAATAAGAAGGTTTGGGGGATCAACTGGAGAAACCTTACCAAAGATCTTCAAAGTACGGGGATGAATATTAGCTCGCTTCAAGAAGGGGAAGGTTACATCCAGCGGATTAACCTCCTTATTCCGGAAAGCCAATTCTGTTTTAGTTTTTGGAAACAAAGAATGAAGGCGAACTGGGTTAGGCTCGGGGACTGCCCCACGCCTTCAATGTGCAGGAAAGTGAAACGAAGGCAGTTACAAAATGCGATCTTGACTCTTAGGAATGAAAATGATACATGGGTAGAAAGGCAAAAGGAGGTGGAAGAGGTGATCTTAACCTCAATCAAGGATATCTACAACCCGATTACTATCAACAATCATGCAGAAGACATAGACCTTTTACTTCGACAACTTGATATTCCCCTCCTCTTGGAAGAAGATCGGATTTGGCTTGACAAGGCTTTTACGGAATGTGAAATTAAAAAAGGCTATGTTCAATATACACTGTTCCAAGTCTCCAGGTCCGGTGGGTTTACGGTGGATTTTTTCAAGACCTACTGGAAGGACGTAGGGTAGTTGGTGGTAGATAGTGTAAAGCAATTCTTGAGGACAGGAAACATGCTCAAAGAATGGAACCAATCTCTTCTAGTGTTAATTCCAAAGGTAAAGGTCCCGGAGCTTGCTAGTCAGTTTAGACCGATAAGTTTGTGCAATACGGTTTATAAGTGCATTTCAAAATGCTTGGTTAATAGGCTAAAGTCGATTCTCCCAAGTCTTATTACGGAGAACCAGTATGCTTTTATTCCAGGGAGGTATATGGAGGACAACATTCTCCTAGCCATGAACTGATGCACCTTATAAATTCGAGGAAAGGCTCGAACTTCACAGCAGTTAAGATCGATGTGTCAAAACCTTATGATAGAGTGGATTGGCTCTTTCTCCTGAAAGTCTTGCAAGCTTATGGGTTTCCAACCACTGGATAAAGATGATCTCATAGTGTGTTTCGACGGTAAGTTTCAAAACAATCATCAATAGGAAAACAACTTAACACTTTGCTCCAAATTGTGGGTTGAGACTAGGGGACCCTCTTTCCCCGTATCTTTTTATTTTCTATATGAATTTCCTTTTGAGGATGCTGACTCTGGAAGAGGATATCAATCAATTCCAAGGATTGAAAGTCTCTCGCAGGTCTCCTTCGATTTCTCATCTCTTCTTTGCAAATGATGCTATGCTCTTCTTCAAGGCAAATGAAGAGTCATGTTTGTGCATCTCTAACATTCTTAATAGGTTTGGCAAAGCATCTGGTCAACAGATAAATCTCCAGAAGTCCTTTATAAAGTTCTCGCCGGGGGTAGACAATGATAAAATATTAGCTATGAAACAGCCATTGCTATGCCTGAAACTGAAAATGTGGGGACTCATCTGGGAGCTCCGATTAACTTTTTATGGGTAGAAGAGCTCTTTTTTTCCAATTCTTAGTTGACAAAGTATCGGAAAAAAATCATCTCATGGGCTTCTTTACACCACTCCCAAGCGGCAAAGTTAATCCTTATCAACACTATGCTCGTAAGCATGTCTGCTCATGTCATGAAGTGCCTAAAACTCCCTCGGAGCATTGCAAGCAAGATTGATTCGTTAATTACTCGATTTTGGTGGTCTAGTAATGGGAACAAAGGGTTGCATTGGGTGAGTAAGAGTGTCACCCAACTCCTTAAGAGTATGGGAGGACTGGGAATTAGAGGCTCTTCAAGTCTCAACGATGCCCTCCTCTTCAAACAAGCAACAAGGATGCACCTCAACCCACAGCTTCTACTCTCAAGAGTACACAAAGGTTTCCAACCGTGTGGCATATGCTATCGCTAGTCCTTAAATAAAAAAAAGGGAATCCTTCAATGGGGAGGTCAAGTCTACAAAAAGTCACTCAATCTTTCAAGGAGGTTTTGCATGGAAGGTGAGGAATGGTAATAACATTAAGTCCATTAGTATGCCTTGGGTGAAAGGGGAAATCCCATTAGTAAACTCAGGCCAAACTCTGAGGGCCGCTTTGAATTGGAAAGTGAGTGATTTTATTGACAGCGATACTAGCACCTGGAATGCAGGGAAGATTAGAGAATGTTTCGATTGGGATAGTGCAAAATCAATTCTGTCAATGGAGCTTCTGCATTCAATTGAGGATGATTTCCTCTACTGGAAATACCATCGTTCGGGTAGGTATATGGTTAAAACTGGGTACTACTACCTATCAAAGGATTTGGGGTTAGAAAGGGCTACCTTCTTGGCAAGGGATCAAAAGTTTGTTAAGTTGGTTTGGAGAATGGATATTCAGCCGAAGTGAAGGTTTTTTTGTGGAGGCTCTTTCATGATGGCATTGCAGTCAAAGTTAATCTGGCTAGAAGGGGGATACAAGTTGGAGCAGCTTGTGATCACTGCGGGGTGGACTTGGAAGATAGCCAACACCTATTTAGATTCTGTAATCTGGCAAAGGAAGTTTAGGAGAATGGCTCCCTAACTATTTGCCCTGACTCTCCTGGGTCCAATTCTTTGAAAAGATGGATTCATCACTATATCCTGCTTTTTTATCACAATGATGGTAAGCATAGTAACTGTTGTGCTTTGTTTATTGCAACATTATGGGGACTATAGGAAGGATGCAACAAGCTTAGTGATAGAGTTTATAAGTCTAGCAATGCAAGACCATGAGACTTTTAAACAACAAGCAAGCCCAATAAATGAGTTGGAGGATACTAGTAGGGATAATCTAATCATCCCCCCGGGCTTCAATCACGTGCATCTAGGAAAGGAAAAGATTGGTTATGATGATTTCATTGTGGAAGCCGATGGCTCCTGGGATAAGAAGACTACGAGAGCAGGGATTGGTTGGGCAGTTAAGACTAATCTCCAAGGCCATGCCCTTGATGAGGGCGGAAAACACAGAGCAGCATCGTCAGTCATCCAATGAGGCTTGGGCTTGCCTTGAAGCAATGAAATGGGCTCGAGCTAAAGGTAGGCATGGAATCCTTCCCTTATCTGACTCCATTTCCCTTCTGAACAACTTACAGGATAACCGTGGCAAGGAGATTTCGATAACTTGGATACTAAAGGAGTTAAGGGTAGTGGGGGCATTGTATCAACAATGCACGATCTTAAAAGTTCATAGAGATCAGGTACAAAGGGTGAATGACATTGCAAGAAAATGTCGGGTTACCCTTTCTAATTTGTTGTAGGTTTGCTTTTTCACCTTTGCTATTGTCAAAAAAATAAATAAATAAATAAAATAAAATAAAGGTGAATATGAATTTCATGAGCTTTTGTTATGCACACATCCAATCATCTACAAGGAGCCTTACATAATTATTTGGAATAACTTTGGATAGGTGAAATAAAGTGAAGAAAGTTTTATCACTTGGTCTGTTAGAGATTAACCAATCTTCACTAGGGGTGAGCAAAACCGGGTACCCGGTCAAAAACTAAGGACCCAGTCCCGGAACCGGTTAGTACCGGGTCTAAGATTTTGCAACTGGTCCCGGAACCGGTATCAACCGGGTCCCAAAATTTTAGACCCGGAACCGGAAACGGTGGGTACCGGTTCTAGAACCGGGTACCCGGTGTTATAGTTGACCAGCCATTAAAAAACTTGAAACCATAGAAAATTTCCAGAATATTGAGATGAACAAATTAAGATCTAAAATCTAACCAATACATGAATTATACACTACCAAATTAGTATGAGTCAAATAATCTATATAAATTATAATTTAATATATAATCGAGCTTCTTCTTCGGGTCACCGCCCTTAACTATCACCTCTTCTCTCATTCTCTTAACATTGACGTGTTCTTCGTTGATGTGGTGGTGGTTCCGACTTCTTCATATGCCATGAATGAGAATTTGTAAGAGAGAACAGGTTCATAATATGTTTTTCGTCAAAAAAAAAAACAAAAAATAAAAAAAATAAGAATTTGATATAGATCTAAGAATATGGAAAAGGGTGGTTGATGAATTATAAGGTGATATTGGCTGGTGAAATTTGTGAAGATAGTGCATTTGGTGGGCGGTGAAGAGTAGTTTTAGGGTTTTAATAATAAGTACTCCTTATAAGATGAATGGGTTGTGAGTAAGTGGGCTGGTAATAACAAAAAAGGCCCAATATTTCATTTGTTTAGTGGCTGACAGAAACCCTAGCAGAAATGAATTGGATGAAATGGGCCTAATGTTGTATTGGACTGTGGATTGTTGGGTTTTTTAAAAAAAAAATAATTTTTTATAACTAAATCAGTACCGGTTCCGGGTACCCGGATTGTCTGGATCCGGGACCGGGTACCCGGAACTGGAATTGGTTTAAACCGGGTACCCAGTGGGTACCGGGTCCGAAATTTTAGGACCCGGTCCCGGAACCGGTTACAACCGGGTCCGACATTTTGGACCCGGTCCCGGAACCGGTGGGACCAGTTCCGGGTCCGGACCCGGCGGATCCTAACCGGTTCCGGGTCCGGTACCGGGTACCCTGGGTCTTTGCTCACCCCTAATCTTCACTCTAAAAAAAAAGGGACATGGAAAACCAATTTATTACTAATATAATGTATTTCTTCAAACGTTTAATTAATCAAACTACCATCTAATATAGTAATATAATTGGCTCTTTAAGCAAGGAAGTATATTGAATAGAGTTATAACTAGTTGTTGACTTTGTTGTGGATGCAGCTTTACTGCTCTTTGTTGCTGCTGCGTCCTGGAGCAGTGCTGCAGTTTCTGGTGATTTTGTGTAGTGATACTCATGCAATTTAAGTCATGTATTATTTTCACAAACTTTGTTTATTAATTACTTGACAACGATGTAGTAATCTGAAACGTTAAATTGTTAATCACTTTATTTATTATATTTTGAGGCACTAGCTACTAGCTAGCCAAAGTAGCAATAGTGGCAGGTTGTTGAGGCCGGTATAGCTGCTACTTGCTAGTATTTGTTGGAAGTTGTCCAACAGCCTTCAACTTTATCACAAGGAGATATCCCTGTAAACTAGGTCATGAGGCCCACTAGAGAAATGGACATGAGCCCATTCTTAAAATCAGTCCATTTTGACAAATGGCTATCTGCCTATCTTAAATGGCCGTAGAGAATTACTTTGTACGTAGTACTCTGTATGTATTAATGTTAAACTAACTAATGGCTTAAAGGCCTTCATTTCATCCATGTGAGAGGAGTTCAATTCTCGATAAAAGCCCATTGCATGAAATTAGGGTGGATGAGATAAATTTAAACCGATGATTGAGGCCCAAAAATATGTATTATACTCTATCACGCCCCGAGAGCTCGTTGGGCTTGAAGTGTGGATGCACTGATGCATCATGTGTCCTTCTCGTACCATGCGCTTAATATTCCACTCTGAAAGGAGGGGTGGATGAGATTCGAAGCCGTTTGTTTAGTTGGTCTTTTAAAAATAATGAAACACACATGTAAAAAGTATGTTAGAAAAATCTTGTTTTTGAATCTTAATATTTTGTATCGTTTTCAATCAAAGGGAATATAAACTAATGTCTTTTTTATTTTTGGAATTACATTTTTGTTGTTTTATTTACGTAGGGTAGTTCCTAATATAAATATTATAGAGTGGAAATGGTTGTTTGATTCATCGATATAGATGTCGGCAATAGAACCCTCCATAGTCCGTATAGTAGACTGTAAAAGTGTAACTAATTCAACCTGAACAGTAAGCAATGAATGAAAACGTATTAAACGTCAAAAACATGTTAATAAGCCGTATAATCAATTCATACAAGAATTGCTTGGTGCTAAAGATAATTAAGTGCATAATCAAAAAGCACGTGGTTAGGCCTAAAACGTAGAAAAGGGTAAGTTTGGTGTAAGGGGGACATCCTTTTTTGTGTTGAATTACTTGTCTTTCTTTCTAATTAAATGTTCTGTTCTGCTTGTTCAAATTCAACCGTAGAATTCCCAATTTCCAAGGCCACGTTTTTTATATTGCTACAATTAATTTGATTTAATGTGCCGCTCTCTTATCCCTTTTTTCAAGAATAAAGGTAAATACAAGGTACAGCTTGCGTGAACTAAGGAGTTGTTGAAACTAATTCTCTTTCTGCAGTTGCGTGAGGCATGATCCACCTCTTTCAATTCAATCCTAAATTCAAAAAGATTGGATTGTGCAAGATACTAAAAGCACGCTCTACGAATGTATGGAGTAATACGTGTAATCGTTATTTAGAAAATTTTGTCAACAACTATCATTTAAATGACTGTTTTTCAAAATAACTACCTTTTAATTTTGCTTTTGAAAAAATTACCCAAATAGAAAAACTTTTAATAGCACTACCACTATTAGTTTTTCCGATAAGAATCTTCATTTCGGGCCTATTTTTTAAAATTTCCCTCCAAAAAACTCATATTAAATGACAACATTGTTCTAAATTAACCTTAGATTAGGTAATACACTTCAATTGCCCCAAATCCTCCAATTTCATAAAATTCTAAATTAATTTTTTGACCAACAACCCTAATTTTGAGATTTAATTGAAAAATTAAATCAACTACAATGCGAAATTAAAAACAATTTACCTATAATTTATTTTCTCTATCGCAATTGATTAAAATTTTGTAAAATAGGCTCCCTCAACCGGAGATTGTTGCGGGGAAATCATATGTGGTAGTGTGTTATTCAAAATTTTTGTGTTTTTGTAGTAATTTTTTCAAACAAAAAATTAAAAAGGTAGTTGTTTTAAAAAATGGTCATTTAAATAGTAGTTGTTGACAAAATTTCCCGAAAAAAAAAATTAGAAAAGTGAGAGAGAGAAATATGAATGGGAACCGCTAAAAATAATGCGAGAGAGAGAAAATATTATAAAATGAGAAATAGTAGTATATTATATGAGTAGGGTTTTCACTTTTGGTAATGTGACACTTAAAAATAAACGATTGTTTTTGGGAAGTGGGACACTTCAAAAAAACAGAGAAAATACCAAGTAAATCTCGAAGTTGGAGGGGAACTCGCCGTATGACTTTGAGGTCACGAGGTCGAGCCCCACCAATATAATTACATTTGTTTATGAGTAGAGGAATTCCCTTACATTCCCCTTCTACTCTCAAACGTTAACTTACAAAGTTATGTGCGCTTAATCTATGAAAGGAGCTGGTTTAGTTTGGTCATTCATCTAACCTTAAAAAAAGAGTGTTGGTAAATTCTTACCTCAGATTTTAGAAGTGTGGGGTTTAAATCCTACCAACAAAGGATACTTAGGGGGTAGGAATTTCCTTACCCTCCCCTATATTTCCAAGTAACTGCCCCATAAATACTAGACCAAAAAAATTGTAAGGGTTGAGTTCTGGTCAGTGTCCTTCTTATCATTTAAAAAAATGCATATTATGTGTGACTTTGAGGTTATATGGTTTGTTTAGTTCACCTTATTTTTGTTGATATAATTTGGTTTGGTTTGGTTTGGTTTGATTTAATTTGATAGATTGTCTGATTTGACCTTATGTGTACAACAATCTATAAAAGAAAAAAATGTATCAAGTGAGGTTTTGTTAGATTCGTAATAATGTGTATTTTATTAATATGTAATTTTTCGTAATTTTTTCAGTACGAAATTAAAGATATGTCTCTGTAAAAAACGCACATAAAACGTCGATTTGAGCAAAACTTATTTTTTTCTATTATAATTTGTACTTATTTTTTGGTATTCTGATTTGATTTGAATTTATTTTTTCAGAAATAAGTAAAATTAAGGTGAATTAACTATGGACTAAATAACTACATTGCTTTATAGAAGGGAGATTCCCTTACCTGTTACCTCTCCCCTCTACTCTCAAATGTTAACCTGCAAAAACTGGCTGAACTTGTGAGAGGTGCTAATTTAATAGGATAATTCATCTTACCTTAAAAGAAAATAATCAATACCAATTACGTGAAATTAAACCCGAAACCTGATAAAAAAAACACGAAGACCAATAAAGAGCAAATCATACACCAATTAATTGCTTAAATCCCAAGTTCAAAAATAAATAAAGTAAAAATTATTTGTTTAAGAGTTGTGACTATGTAACAAGGGAATGGGATCCGATCTTCCGTTTCAAGGAACCGTTGTAACAAGTTTTGGGTTCGGGTACAGGTTCGATTTTGACATGATACCTATTATGCTCACCCCTAAAAACGTATGCCGATCAAATCGATACGTTAAAAAATAAGAAGGGAGGAGTAGTGACTAGACAGAGGCAATAGAGAGAATAAAAGGTGAATCACGGCCTTTGACACTTGTACCCCCACCTCTGCAGGAATGCCCCATTCATCTCGTGAACGTCGTGACTCAAATAAATTAAAGCCCCCCTTCTCATCCGTTTCTCCCTCCTCCTTTTTCCATTCAAAACAAACAAAGTACAATTCCAACTACTATTTCTTTATAGCTTGTTTAAAATATGTGTGAGTGAAGTCAAGCTGTTAGAATTCCACCCCCTCTCACATTAAATTAACATCCATTAAGCTCCTTAAATTCCTTGCTATTACAAATATTCCACAAATTTAAACACACTGCTTGTAATCTTGATCAACTATTACATAAGTGACAAAGTCCCAAATCCCAATATACAAAGTCATGGCTAAGTCTCACGTTGAACTCGACTTCTTTGGTTTGCAGTCCTTGCCCCATCCTCCTCAGCCTCGGCATCGCCTTGATCGCCGTGAAAGTTTCCGTGGTATGTACTAACAAACACCGATCGATATGATATGATACGATACGATATGATATGATTCTTATTTAGCGGAAAATGTTAATTGTGAAACAGGAATAGCAAAGATAAATCCGGAAATAGTGAAGAATGTGATAGCAAGCAAGTATGGTGCACCTGCCGCAGCTGATAATAATCCTAAGTCCGTGTCTCTTCCTGGGACTCCTCGTCTTGGATTTTCTCAACTCCCCGTCTTTCATCCTCAACCTCAACCTCAACCTCAACCTCGGTTTGTTTTCATTTTATTTAATATTATTTCTTTTTATAAACGTGTTTTTTTTTTTTTTTATTATTATTGGTCAACTTAAATATCTAATCTAATTTTTCCCGTCAAAAAAAAAAAAATCTAATCTAATTATTATTCTTTAATTATTCAAATTTAATCAATGAATTAAAATGAAGGGATTTATTAATTTAATAATTGAGAAAAGTAAACAGGGCAGGTAGCATGGAGAAGGCTGGAGAAACTGCCCCAATGACCATATTTTATAATGGCACCGTTTCTGTTTTTGATCTGCCCCACGACAAGGTTTCTACTTGTATACCTTTTCTTCTCTTTACCAGATTTAAATATATATTCCCTCCGTTTCTGTTTTGGTTAATATTTTGATCGTCTTTTGTAAATTATATACGAGAAAAATATAGCACGCATATAATTAGGCCGTAGTAGTATGATAAACAATCGTGATGATGATTGACAGGCAGAGCACGTAATGAAGCTAGCAATGGAAAAGTATGGAAAAGTGTTGGATGATTCAAGTTTAAAGACACCCAAAATAAGTACTAATACTGAGAATATACAACTAATACAAGGATCACTAAGTGATGATGGAGGTTAGTGGAGTATTAATCTACTTTTAATTATGATTTGGAGGTAATTAATTATTTAAGCATGCATGTGTGTGTTACTGTTTGAATTAAGATTCCTTAAAATGTTTGCATTAAATTGAGGATATGTTTGTTTAGATGATGCTGATATGCCTATCAAACGTAAGAAATCACTTCAGAGGTTCTTTGAGAAGCGCAAAGAGAGGTATTTTCTTACTTCTTTTATCATTCTTATTTTATGCACCTTTGTGGATGGTTTAGTAGCTTCATAATAATAAGTTTGTGATTAAATGTAAGAAAAAGGTCCATTTAAATCATATGAGTAGTATTTGTATTACTTGGTATTTTTTATGGGAATGGTTTTTAAAGTTTGGTTAAGTGGAGTTGATGAAAAGGTAAATTAGTGAAATTGTATATGGTTGGTTGATGAGAAAGTAAATAATGGGATCACCTCCACATGCCTATTATTAAAGTTGGAAGGAGTACTTATTGCCTTTTCCTATGTGTCCTCTTAAATAAGTAATGTGATTCATGTGAATATAAGAGTATATAAGCAAATATTAGCTTACTTCATAAATGATCATATTATATCATTTTATATGTATTTGTGAAATATCTTTAAAATTCTAATTAAAAGCTTTAAAAAAAATCATATTAGAATATACATTAATAAGAATCTAAAACCAAAACCCATTTCACTTAATAAGATTAATTTTTTTTCCTTACAGATTATACATAGTAGAATAAGGTCAAAATTTAATCTTATCATGAAATCAGATTATAATTGACTAGGTCAAGTGAATTGAACATAGTTCAAATAATCTTCATTTCATTTTAGTTAGATTACCTTTTATTTCAATGTTTTTCAATATAAATACCCTTTATCATTTTATTTTATTTTTTAAAAGGTAAGAAGAAATAAACATTAGGAAGCCCTCCTCACGAGAGAAATTCCTAATGTAATACCCTTTATCAATTGGTAAACTATATATGCATTATTATAGAGGTGTTGATATGCATAGCCAATTAGAGTGCCCTCCTTCTTTAATAAAAGTATTGATTAATGGTCAAACTTCAAAGTTCAATTCAACATAAACACACGTTTATTTTTCCTTGTTGTCAACTAACCTAGCCTATACTCCATTGAGTCTATTAGAGTCGGTTTGGATATATTTGTTAATATTGTATCTTTGTTAAGTTTATCTTATTAGGAGTTTTAGGCTAGTTATGTATTGTGTATATATATGTGATTATTATCAATACAAAAGGTTAAGCCGTTTTCTCCAAACTTTCTCCACTTTAACAGAGTCATTAACTGAAATCCGCAAAGATTGTTGTCCTGAAACAATTGGTGATAAGCTAATAGTAACAAATGGTTAAAGTACAAATTACTGAAACGAAGGATGGTAGATGGTTAGTCGCTTATGTATACTTTTAACTTTAGCATGGTGGTTCAATTTTTTATTTTTTTATGAATACATTAGGGGGGGAACCTACAAATATTACTCTATTAGGAACTAGTCTTTGATAGTACCTTGTTAGTGCTACATATCCCTACCTTATTTGTTATTATTTTCTGCAAAATAGAGATCATGATTGACAAGATACATATAACTCGAGTCTATTTTAAAAAACAATGATGTACATTTTGGACTTTTACATGATAGGTAAAGATATCATATAGACATATAAATTAATATATAATAATATTCTAAAAATCGAAGTGTCCACGTTTTTAATTTATTTTTTGGTTTGGGAAACTACTTCATTCTTTCCTGGAAAGCTCTTGGAAACGTCAAATAATGTGATTTGTCTATTATCTCTCAAGTATGAATTGGTTGAGGTTGAGTGGGTCTTTCCCTTTGCTTACAAATTACAATCATCAAAAGATTCAAAACTCTTAATCACATCTTCCTTTTATAAGATGCCATTGTAAAGATTACCCGCAAAAGTAGCATTACCATTTATCCCGTACGATATTCTTTGCTTCCTGGCTCCTTTAAATGCTGCTCGTACAGATTCTTGCCTGATTTTCAACAATTTTTCCTTTTTCATTCATACATTATGATAGTAGAGAATATTTATTAATGTTGGACAATTTTCTTCATTAATCAATGGTGGGTAGGTAACACGTATTGGGTTGTGGCTCAATGTTATGGATGTATTTATCAAAATAACAACACAACAAGATATTAACATAACCAACCGACTTTTAATGTTCAAGGACTCAATAATGCATGCATGTTTGTTCTATGAATTATCGGAGTATTCTGACACTTTTATTTTCAAAAGTTCGGGTTACTTGCTATTCAAATTTAATTTTTTTTAGAGTTATTAGTTGAATTTTCATAAGCAGTTGAAGGATCCACTCTTCTCAAGGATCAACAATAATATGCTATGCTCCCGTAACTTGTTAAAAAGTCTTAGTCCGTGACATACTGACATAATGTTTGAAACTTGAAACTACTTGGTAAAAGGCCGGAACTAAGGAAGCAGTATTGATTAATTGATGCAGGTTGGTGTCACCATATGCAAACATGGAACACATGGTTACCGGAGTCTACCAGCAAAAGACCTAAATTAATATGCAAATGTCACAGTAGCAGACAAAAACGTTGATTACCCACGTCAATTATTTTGCCGTATTGTTTTTGTTATCTTATTTCAAAGATTAACCAAACACTATCTTTCAATTCCCTGTATAAATGTCTTCTTGCAACTTCCACCCTCTTTCCTTTTCTTATGGGAATTCTGCACGTTTTTATTTTATTATATATGTCTATATCAACTTGGTTGCACATTCCTCAACAAAATTTCTAAAGCAAAAATTAGTAAAAAAAGGGCATGTGATTAATTGGATGATAGAGAAAATAAACACCACCAACACCCACCTTGTAACCACCCTCTCACCACCATGAATATCTGAAACTCCACCACAACCACCCAAAACCCACCCTACCAACTCGCACCACCACCAATCGAAGCCCCACGTCACCAGCGACCACCAACAAACCCACCCAACCAACTCGCACGACCACCAGCGACCAACCGACCACTTTACCACCTCCAACAAACCGAAACCCCAACTAACTCACACAACCACCACCGACCAGCCGACCATCAACGAACCCACCCAACCAACTCGCACGAGCACCAGCGACGACCACCAATGAACCGAAACAACCACCTTACCACCTCCAACAAACCGAAACCCAACAAACCACCAATAATTTAGATCTAAAACCCCAATTACCACCACCAAGGAAACAAATCGAAATCCCACCTCACCACCACAAAGATCCGAAACCCCACCTCACCACCACAAAGATCTCAAACCCCACCTTACCACAACCAAGATCCAAAACGCAACATCACCAAGACCTCACCTCGTATTGGTTAAAAAAAACATTCAATTTCGATTTTGAAAGGGGCGAACTTTGAAAAGGGGAAAAGAGGCGGCGACGGCGAACTAGTGAGGTGAAATGGTCGGTAACTGGATCTGAGTGGTGATGGTGGTGGTGGTGCGGTGGTTGTGAGAGAAGAGAGAATAGGGTTGCTGCTGGTGGTGGTTGAGAGGGAGGAGAGAGAAAAATTGGTGGTGTTAGGTGGTGGATGTGGTTGTGAGGGAGGAGAGAGAATGTGAGTTAGGGTTTTAATTTTGGATAAATTAATTTGGGTTAAAGAGTTAATATGTTGTTTATTGAAGTTAAGAAAAATTTAGTAAGGGTATGGTGGTAATTTTACACAAAAATTACTAAAAGAGGAAACTTTTGGTTCGTTGCAGATAATGTGTAACATCCGTTTTTGAAAAATGTTGCAGATAATACGAAACAGAGGTAGTATTATTTGTATTAAAAAAAATAAAAAAAAATAGCTAGGTTCTATTCTATACCAACCATCTACGGAGTAGTATAGAATGACTATTAAACCCGGGCATCGTGCTATGCCTGGCTGCCGCGGGCCGTGCCTGGCGGGCCATGGTCACCGGCGTGTCGTGCCGGGCGTGTCGGCGTGCCCAAGTTTTCGTGTCGTGCCGTGCCGACCAATTTCAAAGGCCAGCCCACGGCCTGGCACGACCCTCGTGCTTGGCGGGCTCGTGTCGTGCCGACCTTCGTGCTGGCCTGTAAGCCGCCGTGCTTTTCTTCTTCTTCTTTTTATATATATATAAAAGGCGTGCCTGAGTGGGCCGGCACGGCGGGCTCGTGCCGTGCCGTGCCGAAAAGTGCAGCTCCTGTCCGTGGCACGGCCCATGGCACGCCGGCGGGCCACCGTGCCGGGCCACCACCCCGAGCTGTGTCGTGCCCCGTCGAGATGCGTGCCGTGTCGGGCGGCCCACATGCCAGCCCGGCCCGTGCCCAGCTTTAATGACTATATAATTTGTTTAGCTTTAATTAGTCAAACAATGGAGTGGGTGCTTCCTTATTAGAAATAATGATGCTTTTATTTAATTGTTTGGTTATATTAATGCTTAATGTTTTAGTCACGTTTCTCATTGACTTGTTCTTCTAGGCCAACTAACTTTATGTTATTGATATGACGTTGAATAATCGAATATTTATACTATTAGATGTAGTCTATTCTTCCATTGTTATATGTGGTCCTTTCAATTGTTTGATGTATGATGTATCTGATTATTTGTGAAAAGACTGAAAACTTCAAATTAATACTTTGCATAGTATTCACACTTAATATCTTAATTTTAGTGGCGTGGCATATGCAAATATTTGATAAGAGAATATGACTTTAATTCATTAAATGAATACTGATTGTCTAAATGTCTAATATTAAGCATTTTAGACTATATATTGTCTAAATGTCTAATATTAAGCATTTTAGACATTAGATTGTGAGTGAATTCAATCCACGTCTGTTCACATTATTTTCACTTATTTCAAGTCTAATAAGTTTAATTAATTAATATAAGTTCAATTTAGGAAAACTAAGTTTTAATAAGTTCAGATATATAGAACACACCATAACTATAAAGTTTACAAACTACAAATCTACAATCGAGTACTCTCCATATCTATAACATGACCCACCAAACATAAACTTCAAATCCTATCCAAATTTTTTTTTTGGTTGGTAAGTAAAAAGGGCCTACCAAACCAAAATCTCTCACAGGTTCTCCCAGCCCGTGTTAACATTGGAAGTGAGGGAGAAGGTGAAAATTCTACTATAGTCTTATGACTTTTGACTATCACAATTTTTTAAAATGGACGGCTGAGATTATTTGTTTTTTTGATTTATTTTTAATTAGTAATTTTAATTAAAAATCATTTTTTAATTATTTGATATATATATATATATATATATATATATATTATTTCTAGAATTTCAAAAATATTAAGAAATAATTTGTGGAAGATAAAAATATATTTAAAATAAGTAAAAAATTATTTTTAATTAAATTATTTTTAATTAAAATTACTAATTAAAAATAAATCAAAAAACAAATAATCTCAACCGTCTATTTTAAAAAATTGTGGTAATAAAAAATCATAAGACTATATTAGAATTCTTCGAATCCCCCACCCCAAATGCCTCTAGTCTGGATATAGAAAATACTACAATAGAAAAGTTTAATTCCCTAGAGTTCAATGTACAAAGTATTGTTTTACAGGTCATGAAACCGGTACAAAATTTTCAAGTGTAATATTGTGTTTAATTGTTAAATTAAAGTAAAAAGCATTGGTAATTAACTTTATCGGAGTCGAATTTTCTAGAGAGAGGTCACCGCCTCAATCTTCTCTCTAGAAATCCTAGAGCTTATCCTTCCACTGCCTCAATCTTCTGCTTGTCGACGAAGGGTGGCTCTACCCTTCGTGGCTGCTCTCGCCGGCGAGCTTTTCAATTATCTTTATCTTTCTTTCTGTTTTTGGTCAGTTTTGGTGTGGCCGGCAGTGGCAGACCCAGGAATTTCCGACTGATGAGTCACAATCGATAACCAAATATGTAAAAAAAAAAATTTGACAACATGACAAGCTTAGCTCTCTAATAATTGACAAGATTAAAATCTGTACAAGCATTAGGGTGTATTCACAATTTGACAAACATAATTGACTATATCATTAGGGTGGGTCGACTATATCATAAGCAATCGTCCGAGTCGCCAATCAAATCAGCACATATGCAAAACCCCATATAAATCTACCAAAGTCAATGGTGTATTGACAATTTGACAGACATAATTAACATCAATAAACACCCTAAATAAACACTGATTACAATTCACATGGTCAAAAAGGTTCAAATTTCATCAAAAACCCAACAACATTAACAAAAGGTTCAAAGTTTACCAAACAAACAACAACAAAATCAACCAAAGAAAATAATTTTTTTTTTTTTTTTTTTTTTTAAAAAAAAAAAACTTAGAAATTTTTTTTGGGCCCTGGTGAGTCATTTGACTCACCATGCACAAGGGCAGGTCCGCCAATGGGTGTGGTTTGGGCTTGTTGTTTTTGCAAGTTTAGTTTAGGGAAAACTCCAGTCAAATACCGAAGCTGCGATTAACTTTGATTTCTTTTTGTGTGGTTTGAGTTCTTTCAGAGGGCTTATGTGCAGGGGATTTTGATTATGGCACCGTTAGTTTCGTTCAGTAATATCGTCCTTTTCTATTCTCCTGTTGGTGTGGTTTAGTCTGTTTTGGGTGTGTTGTAAGCTCTTGCTTTGGTTTTTGTATGATTTGGGTGGTTATTATGCTGTCACTGTTGGTTGGGGATATTATGTGTTCTTGCTGCAATTGTATTGGGTTGTATTTGTGTTTCTGATGTTTTTTTAGCATGGTGGGATTAAGGCCCTGTTTGCTAATGTTGGGGCTCAAGTTTCAATTTGGAATTTAGGTTGTAGGTTACAAAATTATTCCTTAGAATTTTGGTTCCTTTGTTGGTGTGTGCCATTAATAGAGTGTGGTGGCCGGTGTTTTCATTTAGAGATGATGGAAGAGTTCATAGGAGATCCAATTCAGGATTCTCAAGACAATTCTCAATTTTTATTGTTTGTTTTAGATGTGGGATTCATTTCTTCAGTTACAATTGCTATGATGTTGTGGGTTAGGTTAGCGATTACAAAGAACCCATCAACCTCGTGTTTGGTGATGATGATGGCTAGTAGAGCCATGATCGTTGTCAATCAAATCTTGATGGAGGCTCCTCACTTGAAAACGGTGAGGGAAGCAAGTTCCTCCTTGAAAGCCGGACATGCTCCTAGTCAGGTGATGTCTGGTATTGAGTTACTAGGGAAAGTAACTCCCGGTCAAGGATCCCAAGCTGTTAGTTGCTTGTTAGGGCCTTGGGATGACCTTAGTGGCGAGTGCAGGTACTCGCATATTGTGACATGGCAATCAAGTTCTGAAGAGGTAGTGTTCAGCTCACATCGTCTTCCATCATGTTGATTCTCTACCTTTGTTCTAGGCCCCTTTATAACTTTCTTTTTCAATTTCCTCACCTAATTAGCTCTTTATTAGACATCGTGTGGTGGCAGTAGGTTCATAATTTGCAGATAAGTTTTCACTGGGTTTGTCTTGCAGGTATCCGCTCAAATGTTTAGGGTAGCAATGGTTTAGGTTGTAGGATCCGAATTTATATCTTAGGAATTTGGTTCCTTAGCTGGTGTGTGCCACCGATGAATTGTGGTGGCAGGTACATTAATTTAGGTATGATGGAAGAGATCATTAGAGATCCTATTCAAGATTCTCAAGGCAGTTCTCAAATTATGTTGTCTGCTTTAGATGTGGGATTCCTTTCTTCAGTTATGAATGTTGTGGTGGTGTGGGTTAGGTGGGGGATTAAAGTAAACTCCTCAACCTTGTGTTTGATGATAATAGCCAGATTATAAATCAAATCTTGACAGAGGCTCCTCATCTGGATCAGTTGAGGGAAGCAAGTTTCTCCTTGCAGGTCCGACATTCTCTTAATCAAGAGATGTCCGGCTTCGAGTTACTAGGGTAAGTAGCTCCTGGTCAAGGATCCAAGGATGTTTGTTGTTTGTCGAGACCTTGGGATGACCTTAGTGGCGAGTGTGGATTTTCGCTACATTTCGTGTTATGGCACTTGAGTTTTGAAGAAGTAGTATTTTGCTCACATCGACATTCTCTTTGCTAGGCCCCTATGCTACTCCTATTTTTAGCTTCCTCACCTTCTTCGCTCTGATTTGGGTATTTTATGGTGGCGGAAAGTTCATGACTCCCAGGTAAGTCTTAACAGGGTTTATCTTGCAGGTTTCTGACCAAATGTTCGCGGTAACAGTGCTCTCCTTCGCCTAGGTTATATTACCAAAGCATGTAATAGAAATTTAGTGTCTAGTATTTTAGTTTCTTTCTTTTAGTCTAGGTTGTAATTTGCTTTTTATTTATGAAGTTCTCTTTGTAAAAAAAAAAAAAAAACTGTTGAATTAAAGTATAGTCGTATTATGATAGTCAAGTTTCCATGTTAGTCCCCCTTCCCCTCCATTAGCTACCAACAATTGAACTCCATCAAAGCAGAAGCAGAATCCAAGCGTAAGATGGAACAAAATTGTACCAAAATATAATAAAATCTTATACACTTACAATTTTTTACTAGATTAATTAGAAAAAATATAGGTCTTGACCAGGCCCCCAAATCAGAGAAATTCAGAGGGGGCAGACATGTCGACCTAAACTTCACTCTCTGTGCACACTACCATGCTTCCTTCATCATTTTTTTATCCAGAGCATCGGCTTATTGTGCACAGTACTTTTTTCTATTTAAATTATAAACTAAACAGCTAATTGATTAATTAAATTGCTAATTATCTATAATAAGAAGAAATGAGGTTGATCATAGGAGCATCAGTTTTAAAAAGCTCGATTTTTGTAACATCATGCATTACAACTCAGCTGTTATATCATGTGTATCATCATATGCTCACTAATTCATCGCCCCCATATCATAACATTTGATTAATCAAATTCAATACTTTTATCAGGAAACAAGAAAGAGTAATGAAAGATAAGAAATTAGAACTCAGGCGAAAAACATTTATAAAAAAACGAAGCAGAAATCAGAAAGAAAAAGAAGATCTGAAGATGAAAGATTGAAACTTTACAGATGAGCGATGAGGGAGGGAAGAAGAAGAGGATCCCCATTTAAAGGCGGCCAAGTGAAACCCTAGATGTGGTGGTGTATGTAGTGGGCCGCGCCACCAAGTTTTATGCTGTGTTCTCATGTTTGTTACTTTTGGGTTGCAAGCTGGCCAGTGGGCCTGGGTTAATTTCAGCCTAAACTCAAAACCTTTTTATTAGCCTAAAATCTTAAATATGTCCATTGGGTTGTGGACATGAACAAAATTGCTAACGATGTTCGGGCTCGTTCAGCTTTACTGTGGTTTTCATTTGGTACTATTATAGTTTGGGCTTATCTACTCGATATTCAATTTTTAGTTTTATTTTACATGATACCATTATACTTTCAATTTATTTTCTACTATAGCATTCCATCAAATATATTATGTATTCTTCGATTTGGGTGTCATTAAAATTGATCGGTTAAAATTTTCAGAGGATGTTTTAGCCCTTAACGGCCTTAAGGTTCAAGTTTGAGGTCGAAGTTAGCGCAAAAAAAAAAAAAAAAAAAAAGCGCTTAAAAATGTCGCGGTTTATGTGTAAGAAAAATGTCTCAATTTGTATATTTCAAATTGTTTTACAAAAAAAAAAAATGTCTGATTAAGGTTTTGAGAGTCATTATGACCTTAAAAGGTTAAAATTTGCAGTCAAAATTAGAAAAAAGGACCACAATTGCCCCAAACTAATATTACATTTGACAAGATGTTATAGTAAACAATGGTACCATGTAAAACTAAGAATTGGGTACCATATGGAAAAACCAAAACTACAATGGTACCACATGGAAAATCCCTAAAAATTAATTTGAAAAGTCATATGATGTATTTCATTAAAAATAATTCATAAAAGTAGTCAAACTTATTAAAGTCATCATGATTTTGAAAACTAACAACAAAAATGTCCCAACCACTTTTGTGTTTCCTAATTTTTATCCTTAGTATTAAAATAAAATAAAATAAATAGAATAAATAAATAAATAAATAAGACGACAAAATTAGGATTGGTTTGGTAAGTGTTTTTTAACCAACAAGGGTTGGTTCAAGTAGTAAGCAACTTACTGCCGATTAAAGGAGGTCTCCTGTTCGAGCCTCACCGTATGCGTAAACTCTTGTTGGGAGACTCACCCACCATAAGCTAGGTGTGCAACACTGGTCGAATTCGGATGTAGTCGGAGCTAAGCTTCCGGAGAATCAACTAGGCTTCTTAAAAAAATGGTTTGGTAAGAGTTTTAGTCCAAGATTGGTTCGTTTGTCGATGAACCTCATTTGTGCATAAAGTTATAGTCCGATCATTAACTAGGTTTCCCAAGTTCCATCAAGAAACACAGGAAACACCGAAACACCCTGAGTCCATGATGTCTTGAGACCGAGAGTGTTTACTAGATGATAAATTTTGCTTTAGCCTTTATTTTTGGAAAATTATAAACATTTTTTGAAAAAAAAAGGAAGAGGTTGAGATGCTTATCATGAAGCCCACAAAAACCCTGAAAGGCCATTTGGGCAATGGAAAACGTCTGTTTTTGCCCTAAATTGCCAATTTAGTGATTATGTACACACTTTTTATGTTTTAACTTAAGCCCACCACATAGTTCTTGCTAGACAATGCAACATGATTTTAAAATAGCCACATAGTTGAACTAAACTAATTATTGAGAGTTCGACCTATTGGAAAGTCTATTATCATTCCAAAATTAGTTTTATGACCTCGGAAGACACCTCACACATTCACTTCATTTTGGGAACAATGTATCAAAATTGATTAAAAAATGTGAATTATATCTTTCAGCTTTGGACATTTTTTGAATTTTTATGAGTCCATAAAAGGAAAGGGGTCGAAGTTCTTTCCATGAACCTTACAAAGACCATGGGAGGGCATATGGATGGTTGAAACTTCCTATCTTACCTTTAAAATGTTAAGTTAACTAGTTATGTATACAACTTTTTTCATTAACTCAAAGGCAGCATCCATATGTCTTTATGTGACCAAGTGGTGGTCATATATGATTCCAATAGCATCATATGATCCTAGGGTGCCTCCATTGTTATTACTTGAGTTTTTGACACAAGGTCCTAGCTTAAAATATTTAAAATGGATTTCATTGGTGAATTATCCACTTCAAAATGAACTTTTGGAAAACCCCTTCCTCACATCTTACAATGAACCCTGGGATGACATCGGATATTTCTTAACACTTCTTAAAATTTTATATAGTAATAATAAAATTCCAGGATGACAAGTTGATGATTGAAAATATTAAACAAAGAAACAACTTGTCTAATGTGTTTTGACATGTTACAAAAATAGATTATTCCCTTTTAATAAGGAATTAAATACGTGAATGATGATTGAAGAATTGTAAAAGAAAATTTATAGACTTTCTCATTTTAAAGTATTCTAATTAAAAGATTTTCATTTGGTTTTTTTAGCATTAATGAATTATTATTTTAATAAAAAATTAAATCGGAAAAAAAAGCCCCTTTAAATTGTTGCTCCACTTTAGTACTAGCTAGTAGCTATAGGCCTATAGCCCTATGTTACATGGACAAGATACCTATATCCAACACGAGTATGTGTTTAAGCGTCTTATTAAACTATTTGAAGTAAAAAAATTACTGTACATGATTTTGAATTGAAAGTGTCATACTTATTTCGACCCGTACTTTGAGATTTGCTGCAAAATTTCTGAGACCATTATGCTAATTCATTCTCTCCCACTCTCACTCTCCTCTAATCCAAATCAAAAAAGCTTTCTTTAGTCGTTGAATTGCAAGGCGTATGATTAAATTGTTGCGCCAAACTGCTGTGCGACTGCTATGGATGAACAAGAACAACCCATCATCTTCATTCATTTCAAAAGGGCAAGGGTTTTCAGCCCAAGCTGCTCTACAAAATGGAGATTACTACTCCATAGATTATGCAAACCCAACACCTTCTTCCCCATTTGAGGAGCTCAATTCCCATTTTTATGGAAGTTCGATTCAGGAATGTTTATTCAATCACGACATTATCAAAGGTCAAGCTTTACATAGTCAAATTCTCAAGAAAGGTAATTGTCTTGACCTTTTTGCCCGCAATGTTTTGCTTAATTTTTATGTCAAATCTGACCTTCTTCCTGATGCATGTAAACTGTTTGATGAAATGCCTGAGAGAAATACCATTTCATTGGTTACTTTAATTCAGGGGTTAGGTAAAGCTGGTCGCTTTACCGACGCTCTGGGGTTTTTCTCTGTGCTTCATAGGGATGGCCATGAGTTGAATCCCTTTGTATTTACTACAGTTTTGAAATTATTTGTTAGTATGGAACGGCCGGAATTGGGTTGGAATATTCATGCTTGTATTTATAAGCTTGGACAGGATTGTAATGCGTTTGTGGGTACTGCTCTTATTGATTCCTATTCCATGTGTGGGCTTGTGGATATCGCGAGGGACGTCTTTGATGGGATTTTATACAAAGACATGATTTCTTGGAGTGGAATGGTTGCTGGCTATGTTGAGAATGCTTGCTTTGAGGAGGCTTTGCAACTTTATTTGGAGATGCGGATGGTGGGATTCATGCCCAACAATTTTACTTTAGCTAGTGGGTTGAAGGCTTGCATTGGTTTGGGGGCAGTGTGTTCCGCAAAGAGTATTCATGGGTGTACTTTAAAGACTGGGTTTGAGAAGGACAACTATGTTGGCATTGCTTTACTTGGCTTGTACACTAAATTTGGCGACTTTAGTGAAGCTGAGTTAGTATTTAAAGATATGCCAAAAAAGGATGTGATCCCGTGGAGCTTCATGATTACGCACTGTGCACAGACTGACCAGAGTGTTTTGGCTGTGGATATATTTCATCAGATGAGGAAAGCTTTTGTCATGCCTAATGAGTATACTCTTGCTAGTTTATTGCAAGCTTGTGCAAGCATGGCCAGTTTGAATATGGGGAAGCAAATGCATTGCATTGTCATGAAGGTTGGCCTTGATTCTAATGTATTTGTCTCTAATGCCCTTATGGACGTTTATGCAAAGTGTGAAAGGATTGAGGACTCTTTGGTATTGTTTGAGGCCTCGGCAAACAAAAATGATGTCACCTGGAACACTATGATTGTCGGCTATGGCCAATTAGGGGATGGCGAGAGAGCATTGATATTGTTTAGGGGTATGCTTGAGCACAACGTGCTGCCAACTGAGGTTACGTATTCTAGTACACTTCGTGCTTGTGCCAGCTTAGCGACAGTTGATCCTGGAATGCAGATACATGCTTTTACCATTAAAACAAAATTTGACAAAGATAGTGTAGTCGGCAATTCATTAATAGATATGTATGCCAAGTGTGGAAACATTAAGCCTGCTCGTTTAATATTTGATACAATGGGAAAGTGGGATGAAGTTTCATGGAATACTATTATTTCAGCATATGCGATGCATGGCCTTGGAAAGGAGGCACTAATAATGTTTGAGAGGATGCAGGGAACAGACTGTAAGCCAAACAAGCTAACTTTTGTTGGTGTTCTGTCAGCTTGCAGCAACATGGGACTATTAGATGAGGGGCAAACTTATTTCACCTCAATGATCAGTGATTATGGCATAGAACCATGCATAGAGCATTACACATGTATGGTTTGGCTTTTGGGGGGATCAGGGAATCTTGATAAGGCTATGGAACTGATTAGGGAAGTGCCCTTTGAGCCTAGTATCATGATATGGCGTGCTGTTCTTGGAGCATGTGTCATACACAAGAATGTTGAGCTTGGAAAAGTTGCTGCTGAACATGTGCTTGAAATGGATCCACAAGACCAGACAGCTTATGTATTACTATCAAACATCTTTGCCTCGCTAAAGAGATGGGGGCATGTAGCTCAAGTCAGGAAAAGCATGAAAAATAAAGGAGTCAAGAAAGAACCAGGATTAAGCTGGGTCGAGATACAAGGTGAGACACATTACTTCACTGTAGGTGATGCATCACATCCTGATATCCGGTTAATAAAGGGGATGCTTGAATGGTTGAGGATGAAAGTCAACAGAGCAGGAAATATATTGCTAATTGCAATGTGATTCTGCTTGATGTAGAAGATGAAGAAAAAGAGCGCCTTGTGTGGTCACACAGTGAAAGACTAGCTTTGGCGTTTGCTTTAGTTAGGACGCCATTGGGTAGTCCTGTGTGTATACTTAAAAATCTTCGAATATGTGCAGATTGCCATGCGGCAGTTAAGCTTATATCAAAGGTTGTTCAACGAGAAATTGTCGTCCGAGATATAAATCGGTTCCACCACTTTGAGGATGGCATCTGCTCCTGTGGTGATTATTGGTGAACTCTTGTAGAGCTACGAGTTTTAAACATTACATGTTTCATCTTTTTCACCAGTCACACAATTGAAAAGAATCTGTAGCCTGAAATTTTCTTTCATTGATGGAACATCATCTGGCCATGTACATCAGTTGATATGGAGTTAGATCAAGCTGATTTTAGATGCTCGTCAAAATTTTCAAGTCACCAGTATGGTAAGTTCCTGTTAGTGCTTCTTAGAGTCTTAGCTGTTGCTGGTGCAAAATATGTCTGCAGTATATGATATTGTATTTCTTTGAGGTTTTCTGTTTTCCAGCCTTCCATCTAGTTTAGTGTATATAGTTGTAAGGTTGCATACATTTTTGATTTGGCAGTTGGTCGTCATTGTTATTATTGTTGTTGGTTGAGATTTGTCTTGGTTCAAGTACACATGGTCGATACTCTAATATGTCTTGGTTGCTCTTGATGAAACAATCTTGGCTTGCTTTGGTTGCACTTGAATTTGCTTGTACCATGAGTTTCACCTTTTTCAGAAATAGATTTCTCATTAGTGATTGCAAGTAAATGCTGCTCTCTGTAGATGAGAAAATTGCAACTTATTGACGGGATTCTAGATAGTTGATTACTATCCTTTTGAAGCAAGCTTTATATTTTGGACCTGAGAGGCACTCAAAATCTTGTTTTTTGTTTATAGGGATCTCTATATAGTTTCTTGTCAACTTAAGAGAGATCCAAATATAAGGTTTTCATTTTGTAATTGCAAATGGTACATATAATATTCTAGATTTTGACCAATTGATTCTCCATCATATGAACAAAACTCATTCTCAGGATTTTAGAGACCAACTTGTAGGTCGTATATGGCTCCAACCCAACTTTTATGATGCTGGGAGACATCCCCTACATCCACATCAATTTCAAATTTTTTTCTTAAAAATGCTTCAAGATCGTGCATGCCTTCATAACGGGAACATTATTCACTTTTTTGAACCTTCAAAGGTCGGAGATTGAGATGCTCTCACCCCATGACACCCTCGGTGGCACCTACTTTGCCTCTTAATGTCATTGAATGATGGCCTTTTCAAGATTCTTTGCGAGACACGACAACACGACTGAAACCGGTACGACACGAACACAAAATTACTAAGAGAAAACACAAAGTCAACACGACACACTGCCAAACCAACTAACACGACTGATTTTAATAAATTGGTCAAATTATGCAATTGTCCTACATTTAACATAGTTTTTGATAGATTTTGTGAACATGAAATGAACACGAGACCAAACACGAACACGACACAATACAACTTTTTGCCAGCTCTATTTGCGACCCACTAGTGTGCGTTTTTTGCTCTAAACAACCATTTATGACCTCAGGAGGGCTCAATCACATCATATTTTGAACTTGGGTCCAAAATCTCCAAAAATAATCCTATCTTGTGCATTAACCTTCAATTTTGCAACTGGATAACTTTTTTGGACATTGAGGTGATTCTCATGGTTCCATTGGACCTAGAGAGGCCTATTCGGTGGTGGTTGCCAATTGGAACCAACTAATTCATGCCTCGGCCCATGACTTTGCTTTGTGCCCCTGCCTTGTCTTGACCGTACTAATTTTATATATTTCATTGTTTAAGACTATTTCTTGAGCAATCTTAGACTTCCAAAGTTTAGACTTTGACATGTTCTAATTATTTGGTAGAATCATATGGATTGTAGATTCTTTGTGTTGCCCCATCTTAAATTTATAGTCCACTTTAAAACATGTGACTACAGATTTCCAAGTGGAGTAATTTTTAAGGCAATTGCTTATGTACTTATAAGCTCATATTCTGGCCTTTATATTGAGGGTCAGGCACCTCTAATATCCAGATTAAGTATGTCTGTATCTACTCCTAGCATTATGAATGATTTTTGTCCATGAATGTAAAGCAAAAGTTGTGGTTTGATCAGTGATGCAGAATATAGTATAACAGACAAATAAGGAATAAGATGATTTAGAATCAAAAGATGCAGAAAAATAAAATAAAATCGAATTAAGCTACAAAGAAGCTATAATCTTGTAGTACTCTCATTTTCTTATTATACAAATTTCTCATATATTTAATTTCTTTTCCCATTTTAATATTTATTTATCGAACTGCCCCTGTTCTTGGTATGCAGGTCATTGGAGACCTATGTCTTTTATTTAGGGGCAACTCTATGCACTTATCATTGTCCCCAGTCTTTCCTTGACAGTTTACTAATGACTGACTCTGTGCATAGTTGTTTTCCATTTTCATTCCAATGTTTAATATTGACAGTGGATGATTTAAATGCAAATTCAGATGATGCAGCAGTGCCATTCTTTTGAAGACGAGTCCATCTTTCATCCCATGGGACTAAAGGTACGCTCTGAAGCTATTTAAAATGGGCATAAATATGTGAAGGCAATCAATATAGCTCCTTAGCAGCGTGTCTCTTGACTTTGGTGTCACTTGCTTTTCCCAATATCAAGAGACTACAGGTACTACTCTTATCTCAGCTAATTTGAACTTTTTATGTCCAAGATTTAGTTCATTGAGTCATCTAATGGATACTCTTTGTGTGCTGTCTAAAACTAAACATCCTATGCTCCTCCTTTTAAGTTTTAATTTTTGCATTCTATGGTTTCTGGTAAGTCGTATTTAATATCTATTTTACTGATTTTTTGTAGATGTTTTCCCTATAGTATACCTTGTCCTCTTGCTATTGTTTTAAAGTAATTAATTCCAGAATAAATATCTATCTTGATTATAATGCATTCTATGGTTTCCTCTTCCCTCAATTCTTACTTCTGTTTTATACAATCCATCCAGGTCTTCCTTAGTCTACCTTGACTTCTTTTCATATATACATCATCAAATCATCTCGTAATGTTGGCATTGGATATGTCTATTTGACCTTGTAGTCTTTGCTAACTGTCATTTCAGCATACTTTATGTAATTTGTTTTGATTATTAGAATGCATACAAGTTTCCGTCATATCAGCAAGCATGGCGACTGACAAGTATGGAGTAGTGATGATGTATTTCTATGAAATATTGTTATTTAACTTAATCCAATGTTCATCACTGCCCCTATAAAAACATTTATTGCATCATGGCTTTGTCAAACTTTCAACTCATTAAGATTTTCATGATCTCATCATACCCCGCCAGTGGTGGAATGTGTATTGATCGTGTCAATGTGATTAACGGTGCAGAGTAAATGCTTAATGCAGGTTCAAATTAGCACTCAAGTATTGAAGGGGCATTTTTAAGTATTAACATAGAAATGGGTGGTGGTTCTGTTGGCTAATACATATGATGATGTTAGCTTATTTCTTGCCTTAATTAAACATTTATTGTTGTTGGGATGTAATGAGCAATAATAATGCAAGAAATAACTATACCAATTTTACATGGCTGGGGCCACATGGAGAGTTTTTGAGGAATTAAAGTCATGTACAACTCAAGAGTCAAACCATGATTCATTTACTGCTGTGGGATGCCAAAAAATTGCTTGTTATTATGAGTTTTGTTGTTTCGGGTTTTAGTTCAGAGATTGTTGTTCATATATATATATGTATATTTTTTTTTAAAATTATTTTTCTTTCAGTACTAGTCTATCTTTGATTGCCTGGTTGCATTTTGATGCACTTGGTATCTATATTTTCCATTTATACATTTTCATAGCTGCTTTTGGTTTCTATAAATGAATTTAATACCTTTGCATACCTTATCCTTTATCAGAGCTAAGGAGCTCAATTCTGGTGGGCTTGTTGGTAATAAAAATGGGATAACTAAGACCTATCTAAAGATGTTTCAACCAGAGGTGAGTTGCTGATGAATAAGTTGATTTTTAGATTTAAATTTCCTTCGCTGAGTTGATGTTGCTGAGTGGTGGCAGAATTAAGAATGTATATGCTTATTTTATGAGCTGAAATGTGAGTTGCTGAAATGATGGTGATAACTAAGCTGCTTTACTTAAATTCTATCAACTGCAGGTGATTATGAATGGATTCTGGAAGACGGGAAACGTTCCTTAAGGTAACATTTCAGGAATGCCCCCTTTGATCCCTCATCTGCTTCTGTGCTATAGATATCAGAAAAGGTTGTCTTTTCACTTTCCTTCCTTCCTGCCTAATCCCTTAGACCTGTAGAGGCTTAAGTCTTGTGGTTGTGTGAACTTGAGAGCTTAAATTACTCGGATGCTCATTTGAAGTACATGTTGCATAACCAAATATCTAACTTTTCATAGATGGAGATAATGCATGCTGTAGAAATTAAAAGATGCTTTATCTTATTAGCTTTTTAGTATTTCAGTTGGGATGCCTGAGTTACTTTCCATACCCTGTATCTGTTCTTTCATGTAATTTTCTCTCTTAATATCACAACTTGCATGTTTCTTGTTGTCTTTTCTTGCTTAAAAACCCCTAGGCTAATGTAGATTGTGTTACTGATGCTCTGAATCTGTTGAGTGCTACCTTGATTCTGCAATCAACATAAATTTCACACTGAAGAATTCAATAGGGAGCCAAGTAACAATTCCTCTCTTTTTCTCGTCCTGTTATCTTGGAAATGGAGGTAGGAGCCTTTTTCAGAGTATTATGGTAATGTATTGAACTGAATAGAAAAGCATAATCGGGAGTTTATTTGAGCCATAGAGGTAGGTTAAACCTTTTGGCTATTATTATCTGAAGCATGACGTAGATCCACGTCCCATTTGATTAAAGACGTATATTTTAGTTGTGGTGCTGGAGGGAGATCAGACTTGGCTTTTTTGAGATACTTTCTAGTTTATATGTTTTGTTCAAAAGTGTCCCAAGTGTCATGCACATGTCTGGCCATCTGGGTGTCCTTACTGGGGGTCTAGTGGAAGATTTCCAATTATTACAGTCATTTCATATATTCTCAAGGGATTAGATTTGTTTGCTATAACATCACAGATTTTGCAATTATATGCAAACTTAAAGCAGTGGAAATTTATTCGTTAGATTTAAGCACTCAGTTACATATTGTAGTAGACGCAGCCCAAGTTTGACAATGATACTCTAAGGAGAGTTAGGTGACCCATCACTTGAAGTGCTACATGATGTGATATTTGTGGTGTTATTTAGTGCATCTACATTCAATGAACTTTTGACTTTTACGATTCTTATCTTCTTGATTACATTGTCCGCACTAACTGACTAACGGAGTTTAACATGTCTTACGACAATTTAATGCAGTATTCCATTGCTTAAATCATTCTCTGTGGGACTATAAAGTTGGAGTCTAGTCTCTGTCTTTTTTGTTCTCTTGCTTGGATAAATTGGATTTGGAAATTGAGTTTGGTGGTCATGCCCCTTTAGGTGAAAGAGTATAGGAAATTAGTAATATGCAAAGCCACAGATGTGACATGCAGCTTCCTTGATATTTATAGTGGATCAGCAGTGGACATTAAAGAGTAATAAACATCATTGTCACTGACAATGAATCAATTTCGAAAGACTACTCTTAGTTTTTTCTCTCATTATACTATGAAGTGCACACAGCAATCATGGTGGCCGAAATGATCTAGCCACTGGCGAGGTTGTGGGTTTTCCTGTTATATAGATGACATTGCTTCGGTAACGACCCGTTTGGTGGGTGGTAATAAATTGATGTATTGTTAAGGAAAGTCCCATGTCAATTTTCATGGTAATGCCTTGTCTTCCCCAAATGTCACTTTTTCTTCATAAAATTTTATTACCATCCATTATCATTTTGGTGGGAGGTAATGAAAATTTAGGAAGAAAAACATATGTTTGGGGAGCTTTTCTTACAAAATTACATACAAAATCATGATCATTACCATTGCTGTCTACTTAACAGGCAGTAAGAGTATTGCAAATGATTAGAGTAGCTGAGTTTTGATATGATCTGCTAGATTGCAATGTTGGAGCTTGTTAGTTACAAGTCAATGAAGTGATTTTTAGAGGCTTTATAATAGGATTATCTGGCCGCGAAACATGTGTCTTAACTAGTTCATATTTTAGGAGGTTGTATGACATGTATAACATGCTCACTCCACATCTTTGAGCCTTTAGGGCTGTGTTTGAGTATTTTCTTATTGAAATTAATGAATGAATAATCAGGTTTGGACTGTTTGATGTAAACTTTCTCTTGTGTCTAATCCCATCTACTTTCTAAGTGAAATATCTCTCAGAAAGCAACATTTCATCTTCTTCAAACATTGAATAGATTTGCTGCTAAAGTAATGCCCTAAAATGACAAAGCAACCACAATATTCCTTATTTATGCATTTAGTTATGGTAATTTCATCTTTTTTGTATATCTTAGTATTATGGTGTAACATACAGACCCTTTTTTTTTTTTGGGAGTTATTATTCCCTTCTCAACTTTAGATCTACTACCCCTAGTCTATTAAAGCTTGTTTGCTGTATCATTTATTAGCAAACCAGAGTAATGATGCAATTTTATTCACTCAGTTGAATTATGAGATAACTGATTCTGGTGCTAAAAAGGGTAATGGTATTTTCAAATGTGTTCAACTAAAGAACGCTAGATAACCTCGTTTTTAGAATGGGTAACCACTGTCTAGTCCTAGCATGGTATATAACTCTACTCTTTGCATATGTACTTTCGTTTTCTGCTGCCTTAGCCACAAGCTGCATATTTATGGTGCTGTGAGTGGACCTATATTCATTGACTACCTAACTTTGAATCATTTTTCTCGAGCAGTACGAATGGAGTTATATATCTTAACTCGCCATTCTGCATAATTTGTACTTTGTGCTCTGGACAGTGTTGAAATGCAAGTAGCTTTGGAGTGTACTTGAGCTATTGTTTTTCTTTCTTGTTGGTTACTAGAAGGTTGTTACTTATTAATATAAGACATTTCACATGGAGTAAACTTGGGAAACCTTGCTCTAAGATCCTAACCAGATTCTACTCGCCACTAAGTTTTTCACATTATTTGCTGATTCAAGTGTCTTCATTACATATTTTTTTATGCCTGCTCTGTGTATCAGTGTATCCTCTTTACTGAGCGCTTAATATCTAGTTCTTATATTCTCATGTTTAGTAGCTTATTCATGTGGATCAGCTCATATACAATTGATTGTAGTGAAATCTCTCAATGAGCTATAAAAGTTAAAATTCTAGTTTCTGATTATTTGTAGTCAAGCTGAAACTGTCTGCAGACCTGGTCAATGTCATTTGATTATTCTCCATTTATGAACAATTTTCAGACATATATATCTTTGAATAGTTTGATAGCATGCGGATGATTTTTCCTTATGGTTTTCATGACGCAGGCAGAATATGTGGAACAAAATTTCAACTCTTTGGGGAAGGAATTCCACATCAGAATTGGACTACCTTTTGTATGCAGCTTGTGCATAAACAAGTTGCTGAAGCACTTGCATCAGCTGCAGCTCTAGCACGTAGCCGAGTTATGGCACCTTGCTTCGCAGAATAGGATATATGCTGATTTGTCCTTGTGAATCATAATCGAATTATTTTGGGATATTGTATACTTCCACATACAAGTAGTAGGTGTTAGAGGGGGACATCAACCTTCCATATCTTGGTAGTAAAGTAATAAGGTGGTGGCGGTAGGCAAGTAGGCAACTTTCCTAAGTTTTGCGTTGCCTGTAAATAAGATTGCATTCATTTTTGCATTGTCCACTGCGTAATGTTTGATCATTTGAGCTCTATTCATATTCAACTGGTTTGTGAAATGACACTTTTTAGTTGAAAAGCTGAGATTGTCGAACGAAATCAATTGAGATTCCAATGCAACTTGTTTGATGCGGCATTATATTATTGTTAAACTTAGTTCTATCTAATCTTTCTACTACCTCCATTTCATACTATTTACAACGATTTGACGTGAAATGAGCAGAAAATGTCTAATCGTTGTAAGTAATACTTCCTCTGTTCTAGTAATATTGCAACAATTGGATTTTTGCACTATTTTCATGCTTATTTGACCATAAATTATGATTTATACGTTAAGTAAAATATAGTCATGTAGGGTCTTGTTAGACTTGTCTCATAAAATACTTTCAAATATCAACTATTTAAGATTTTTACTCTAATATAATTATAGATATTTAACATATAAAATGTATTTTGGGATGCGTAATTTCATCTTTGTTGTAATATTTGTAGAATAGAGGAAGTATAAAACAAGTAGTATATAATTATTTGAGATAAAATACTCATAACCATCGAGAATTATACTGTTAATATCAAGATTTTATACTTTGATTGTGCTTTTATAGTGTGGAAAATTGTACGTAGTATGAGATTCAAATCGTTATACACTATATGTTGCAGATTTTTTTTTTTTAAAAAAAGCATGTAAAGGATTGATCCCTTGACCCACGCGATATTGGGCCAAGATTAGGGAATAATTTAAGTTAGGAGACAAATCAAAGCCCTAACTAGTAACAACGTACTCCTTCCTAAGGCAAGAATCATGAACTCATTTCGTACATTATTACTAAAAAGGGTTGATACTATTGCACTTTTCCATCCTTTTATATTTATTAAAAATTTCTGCTAAAAAAGGTTGATGCTATTGCACTTTTCCATCCTTGTAAATTTGATTTTCTATTTGAATTTTAACCTTACAATCTAGAATTCTCCCATTTTTGTGGTCAATGTATGATTATAATAACCCCTCTGGTTTATTAAGTGTTATTCTTCTGTGTTTATTTTTGAATAATTGGCCTCAATTACACTGATTATGCTTTCGAATGTATAGAGTTACCGACTTTAAACAGGTGCATTTTAAAATGCTAACTACCATTATCGATGCAACTGTTCAAGGTATGGCATAAGTGGTTAGAATCTTTGACATTATATATGTCATTCTCGCATCTAATGTTGTAGTTTTTGTGCAAAGTATGTTTATTTATGTGAAATGTGTAAAAGTGAGTATTTTTCTTATAATAGATGTATTATAAGAAGTATTGAAAATAATCTTTCAAAACAGTTGCAATTACACTTCATATTGATAAGGGTAAAGTTAGTAGTAATCATTGAGTAACAACAACCTTTATTCTATTGATTATCGTTATAATGTAATTTTAATGTGGTTAATCGTAGTGAGAATGGATGACAAGCTACTCTCATTTAGAAACAACGCGAATAGTTGTTAGTATCACATTGTTTCAATCTCAAATGAATTACTGTAATATACTAATATATGATTTTACGAAAAAGAAAAAAAAAAAATAATACTTTGTGATAATTTATCCTTTTGCAATCAATTAATTTCGAGTAATAACATTAAAAAACCTAATCAGAAATCTACATTGTTGTAAAAATATGAGAAATGTTTTGAGACATCTAATTCACTTTGATTAATGTTTGTGATTTATACATAAGAATAAATATAGTCTTGTGGGTATTTGTTGGATTCGTCTCAATGAATAATTTATTAATATTCAATTGTTATAATTTTTACTTAATGATAATCAAAGATATTTTTAGTCAAAGTTTTATATTGACATATGTGCACAAGGAAAATGTTTCTTTTATTTAAACAATGAGGGGGTAACTAATAAAAAGGGAGTAAATTTTGTCATCAAATAGGGTATCTACTATTTAGGGCTAGCTATACCAATATACCATGCCATGCCATATAAAAGTAGATAAATGATGATTTCATGCCATGTAATCACGCACATACAGAATAATAAGATAATAAATATAAACATGTAAAAGCTCAAAAATACTTTAATACGAAGTACACGTCATTTTAAAGGCTCGGTATATATTACATGGAAATATGGAATAGAAGTGTGGTTGTTGAGAAAGAATAATATTGAGAGAATGTCGAGAATGAACTTATCTAATAATAATGGAAAAGTATAACAATGTAGTATTATACCAAAATCATGCATTGATACATGGATTATCTTTTTTTTTGTTGAGGAATGATACATGGATTATCTAATTATGGTCCAATCAACCACTTTTGTGTCCCTTTTGTATGTATCTTTTATGTGTATAATTATAGTAGTAATTTATGTTATTAGATACCTTTGTAAGTTGTGATGATTAAACAAACGATTATACTTCATTATATACAAATAATAAGATTAGAGTATTCTAAAAAGAATAGATTATAACGCATAAGAATCAAATTACATAATCGAGAACTTAATTTTATATACACAAAGTATATAACGAACCATAATATCAAACATTCTTGCTAATAACAGTTCAAGACTTATCGAGAATAACAAACAATATTTGATTAATTAATACTCCCTCCGTCCTTTATTTACATGCATTTTTTTTTGTGTACTTTTGACATCATTTTCCAACACTTTCTACTCTATCTCTTTAATAATTACCAACTACTTTTTCTTTTCCTCTATCTCTCTCTAACCCCACATGCATATTTGTACTTCCTAATCATGACTTTTAAGTTCCTTAATTCTCGTGTAAAATGGGAAGTATGCATGTAAATTAGAGATGGAGGGAGTAAGTTAATTAATGTTAATCAAGAAGGAACACTAATAGAGTACATACTTCCTTCGTTTTTTTTACTTGACCCGCTTTGACTTTTACACTATTCATCACCCCTCTTTTAACCGTTTTTTGTGAATAATATATAAGGAAAAATATATTTATATGGAATTATTTTGAATTCATTTCAATAAGTACTATCATAATATATATAATTTTTACTTATGAAGAATAAAGTTATTGATCATTAAAGTTTTACATTGAAAATCGTGATAAAAGAAATAAGTCAAGTAAAAGGAAAACAAAAAAGTATATTTTAATACAATAGTATGTTAAGTGTCGGAGTTTAATAAAAACTAAAAGTGAAGGAACAATAAGAAGACAAAACAACGTGAAAATGCCATGCGCTTTTGATAGAGAGAGAGTTTAGTACTCGTAAAACGCTCCTCAGCAGAATTTGGAAGCCCAAAAAATATTAATTTTTTTTTAAAAAAAAGGCCATAAAATTCCACGCTTAGCTTTTTGCATGGACGTGCATAAAATTCCTGACTGCGCGTGCATTTGCATTTGCTAGGTTTTTCATCTTGTGGGGGCCACTTTACCTCTAATATTAATCACTTAACTCTCTTAAAATTATACTTTTAACCATTTACCAATGAGACAATCAACATTATTATCATCATGGATTCGAAAAGTATCCCTAAATATGTTATCATTTGTTTGGGTCCAATTTAGTCCAATTGGGCCTAGGCATTAAATGATCCAATTAAAAGCCCAAGGTCAAGGTTCAACTCTCCAATTGTGCTAAAGTCAAAGGTCAGCCCACAAAGCAAGCCAATTGGGCTAAGGCCCAACCTCTCCATGTATGATGAGGTATAAAAGCCATCAATATTGATACATTTCAGATATTCATTCATATGTTCATTCATTCATATGTTCATTCATTCATATGTTCATTGATATATTCTGATATATTCCATCAAAGCCTCAAGCAACAAACTCTCTTGCATAGTGTCCTCTTCTTACACATTGTACTGACTTTAGCATCGGAGGGGCCTTCCTCGGCAACACCCCCGAGGCTAGTTTACGTGTGTTTACTGTGCAGGAAACCTTCGGCCCAACATAACTTGGACCGAATCCAGCCTTCTCCGTTTCAGCGGACCTTCGGCAAGGTCCCATTGTTTTCACCCGAAACAATTTGGCGCCGTCTGTGGGGAAGACTTTCAAAAATCTTTAAGCCAAATTCCTAACCAAGATCATCTTGCAATTATCTTAGCAGCAATGGCTAAGAACCGCAAGAGCAAAAGCCTCCGTCAAGGAGCGGGCGAAAAGCCTAAAACCCCTACACCATCACCCTCGCCGGACCGGAACTCTCCCAAGGGTGCCGGCTCGGGGGGAGGATCATACAAGGAGGATTCCCTATCTCCCGTAATTCATGACTCTCATTATAGGCCGAGTTACTCTCGGTCTAGCAGGGGTGAGTCCGATCATAGGACACATTCAGTGTCCCAAAGCCAGCCATCGGCTGCGCGCCCTCATTCCCACACTCGGCCGAGGACCCCTTTGACGGGGCCCAGCTCGGAAGAGGTGGCAAGAGCGCTGGCAGTACTCATGGAGGCGATGAGGGCACAAAATATGCCACCACCTCGTGATCGAACTCCTCCGCATACCCGGCATCAGCGGAGGAAGTTAGACCATGATGGTGGGAAGCTTCCTTCCTTCCGGGAACTGGAAGAGTGGGAGGAGGATTCCTGGAAAAATGAAAAACAGAGGAAAAAGAACCCTCAATTTTTAAAAGGATCCTCATCCTCAAGACCAGAAGCGCATAAGAGCAGCAGCTCAGCTTCTCGGCCAGAATCTACTCACCGAGAACCTGAGACTGTTCGCAGAAGCGTCCTTGACCGACTCGGCGGCAAGGAACCGAGCGTGCACAGTCGCCTCTCGTTCCCTGCAGCCGAGGCCCAGACTTCCCAGCCAGGGACGAAAACCACTCCTACCTCTCTAAGAGGGCGGAGCGCGGTCCCTTCGGCCAGGAACAAGGGCAAGGCCGTTATGCTACCCGCCAGTTCACCATTTGAGCAATGGATACTGGAAGAGCGCGTACCCACGGTTAAAATACCGTCGCACATCACATATGACGGGACCACGGATCCGAAGGATCACGTGGCCTCGTATGAGACTCATATGCATCTTTGCCCCAGATCCGAGGCGACTTGGTGCAAATATTTCCCAACCACTCTCAAGGGGGTCGCGCAAGCGTGGATCTCCAAGGGAGTAAGGCAAGGCTCCATAACAGGGTGAGATGATCTGTCCTCCAAGTTCAGGATCAAG